TAACTTTTTTGCTGATGTATGACATCTACTACAAACTACCAGATTTAGTCTTCACACATGTAGGACTTGTTTAAAAACTAACATTCAGAGCAAGCAAATAGAAAACGCAAACTTGGAAGGTTTTTGATGTACATAAGATAAAATAAGCATCCTGCATTTTTAAATGCTCTTGACTTCCTAATATAGTTAAGATAATGTAAAAAAAAATGATTTATATTTTAAAGTTCAGAAAAAAGGATTGAAAACAGGCTAAAGTAACTGCTAAAGAACTTATAAAAGCTTGAAACAATATTCACTATGTGATTAAATGTTATCAACATGAAGCCACATTTTAATCAGATACTTAATGTGATGAAGTGGATCATTTTTTACATTGAATGGTTGATTTAAAGATGGTAGTGAAAGGGTATGGGATGATAGTGAACAGGTATGGGTGTATATCTAAACTACCAAGAAATGGATAGATTATACCTTACACTTTCAGGTTAAAGCAAGTTTTGTATTTTCTATTATTTCATTTTTTTTTAATCAACATAGAAACTTTATATACGGTATTAACTGTTAACAATCAGGAAGCTTCAGAATGTTGCATCAATCAAGGACTTTGCTCATCTTTGACATTACACTGAAATTTAATAGAAATAGTTTGATGCTTCACCAGGAAACAGACTAAAAAGTGTCGACATTGCTGATGAAGAATCCCTAGCCTTCATCTTCCTGATCTGTTCCTTATCACTAAACCATGTGTTTAGTAGCAGTACAAATTTACCCTCACCACCACACACACACACACACACACACACACACACACACACACACACACACACACACACACACACACACACACACACACACACACACACACACACACACACAGATTTATCCAATTCTCTTGAGACATATAGTGCCCTTTCCTCTCTTTATCTTTTCTAATCCTGGCAATTAGTGGGCAATAATTAATGATAAAACTCAAAAAGTTTAGGGCAGATGATAAGAGTTTTGCACTGCACACATACAATCCCACTCTCTAGGCCCATTGCTCTCTAGCTCTGACCCATACATAATAACTAGGAGAGACTTAAGCAACCAGCTGTTGTGTCTACCTTTTCAAGGTTCCTTTTGTTTTCCATTCAACTATAATATTTTTAATTTCTTGTTTACTGTACAATTATCCAACTCTTACCCTTCAATATCACACTTTGAGAATCAAGTATCAAACTCAGAGCCTGCAATCTAAAAGCTTGCAGATGAAACCAAATTATTAAAACAAAAAATGTGCCCCTCATTAAATTTGTGTAAGGAGTATAGATTTAAAGCTCTATTAAATCGAATCACATCTGGCACTAATCCATTTAACTGGGATCCAAAAAAGCGACCATCTATCAAAGACTAAAAATATAAAGAGGAAGAAACTGACAAAATGAGCACAGACCGTAATAAATGAAAAACTGACTGCAAGTAAATCACGCACAGGGGAGGTAATACGAGTGCTACCAGCAGAAAAGTAAGACTATTGAAGTACGTGTTATGAAACACATCTACTGCCCCCACCAGACAAGACTGATTGCTTTCCTGTAAAAATGTATATTAGTCATTAACAATCTGGCACAAATATGAAGTCGGTAAATTTGCTGTGACTGGAATTAGTGAAGCAACTGAACTTTCACAATGTAGTGCAGCAGTGTTACAGGACATGCAAGTACAGTGAGGATTTGCTTTAGGCTTAATGCAGCCTCAGATCTAAGGATCCTTGTAGAGACATTGATAAAGTTCACATAAAGACTTATCTTCCAGAGAAATTCACATTCACCTATTGTTTAGCTTCACTTGCCAGGTATTTTAATATAGGTATGCTTGTCAGGCTTCCTAGTTTGTTTTTTAGCAGACAAGCTAAAAAATGTCTCGGAAGCCAAGATGGAAGTAAGACTATATATAAATTACATTCCTGAGCACTTCTGCCCCCTGGTGGATGTTTCTAAAAGTTGCTGCTGCTGCACTATGCAAAAAAAAAAAAAAAAAGACAGCAGAGGTACAGTGGAAGAGGGACTGCTATGAGAACAGTCAAGGGGTTTCTGCTTATTGCACCACCCCAGCCTCCTGAAGGGTCGCTTTGATCTTTGCATACATTTAAATTCCAAAAAGGCAATAATACCAAAGGCTGAGAACACTTATTCATTCATAAATGCAATAACTGGGACTCAGGTTGGAATTACAGAGGGACTAGACATCATTTCATAATACTTTTGAGAAAATTGTGCTTCATTTCAAAACCGATTCAAACATTTGATGTTAGCTGTTTGAAAACTCCCTCAAAATTCAAGGTTAATGTGCAACCAGCAGTTAAAATGTAGTTAAGATGCAAACTGGAGATACACCTTTTAAATAGGTTATGAATCACCTCGGTTTGGTTAATCTTCTGGAAATCAATCAACTTAGCTGCACTAAAATTGAATTCAAGAAGACTGGTGATTCCAGAATGAAGATAAGAGGCGATTATCACACTATTAAACATGCTTGAAAATAATTTACTTAGAAGATAAGACTGATCATGTATGTAGTTTGTGGTTTTAGCCAGCAGATGGCATCAGCTGTTAGTGCAGTACAATATAGAAAAGCAAAACCGTCCACTGCTGGTTGCCCTGTGGGTCACTGGCTGTGGTGAAGCCACCCCAAAGAAACAATTACTCAATATATCCACTTAAAAAAATAAAAATAAAAAATAAATAAGGTTTCTGTTCCAAGGACATCTGGTCAGCATTGTAATCCTTAAGCCCCTCAAACTTGTAACACTGGTAAACCTGCTCATAAACTTTTTGTTAGCTGCATCTTTGATCAACCAGAATAGTAAGTGCCTTGTGTAAAAGGTAATTAAAAGATTAAATTACAAAGTTAAATATTGCATGGAAACAAATTATGGAGAAAAGGTGTCTGCTTTAGAATAAGATAACTGACATTAGTTGTTGAAGTTCTTTCATATTTATTCCAAAGACTTCAGTTCTAATAAAAACAGATATTTTCACAAAACAGAACAAGCCAATTGCATTCTATTCTATTCTATATTCTATTTAAGTTTGGATTGTCCTGCGTTGGCTGACTGAGCATTCACCACCAGCATTTAAATTACTGTTTTATCAGTGGGATGAGTTTATAAGTAGGAGCACATTAACAATGTTTGACTTAGCAATTTTAAAATCTAATTTCATTAAATTTCTAAAGGCGTTATTCACATCTGATTGGACAAACAGATGCAACCTCTTAAATAGCAAATCATTAGCAGAACTACCATCACTTAATTTAAGCCATGTTTTACTTTTAATTTCTTAACCTAAAATCAGATTAAAAATAAAACTGAAATCAAAGCATGCGGTTTTTTATCATTGTCAAGCAAAAGGTGGATGAGAAGGTACATCTCTTAATCATTAGACAATTTTATTAATACATATTTTTTATAAACAATAAAAAACTGGTTTGGAAGACAATGCCTTGATACCTTATAAACACCACTTATTCCACATGTAAACCATAAAACATGGCAGTAAAATCCTACAGAAAGGCTTAACCTGAGACCTGTTGTAATCAGTAACTAAATGAAGCTGAAATGAAGGTATTTCTAACATAAGATAACCTAAAAGAGGCTCAGTGTAACAACCCTTAACAGAGCCACTGCCAAAATATAATGGTGTATATAATAATTGAGTCAAAATAGCTTAGTCCTGAAGGACCAGAGTCCTGCAACTTTTTAGAGCATCTTCAACACACCTGAGTGTGTTCTTTTGAGATCACTGCCTAAAGCCTTGCTGCTGTAGTTGCAGCAAATTTTTGTTTAGCATTAAGGAACTACATAAAAAAATAACCAAAGTACAATTTTGTGAACCTATAATCAAAAGAAAAAGATTTACAGCCTTATAACAGCCTATTGCCCAACACCCTGATTTACAAAATTTACTTTGAGTTGCAAATAAAAGGTGATACCTTTTACAAGGGTTATGACTACTTTTGTCACCACATATCTTTTCCCAAAAGGTAAATAATTTTTTAAGCAGACTATAAGGTTTTGTTTTACAATTTAAAACAAAAAAAGATTGTTACAAAGATCTTAATGAGAGTGTGAAGAGCAGGGGGGTCCAGATCCAGTCCTTAGGAACTGCTGGCCTGCAACTTTTAGCTACATCTGCTCCATCACAACTGGTTCAAATGAATATCTGTTTAGCATCCGATCAGATTTGGTAAAGGTGTGATAACAAAGCTATGATTTGGTTCAGATTAGCTGAACCAAAGATGCATCAATTACAGGGCAGTAGATTAAGAACTAAAATTGGACACCACTGCTGTAGAGAATTACTGTACAATGGTTAAACATTTGGTATAAATTCAATGGTAAAAGTAGCTACAATATTATATTAAACACAACTGATCAGCTTACTAAATGTTTTTGTTAAATAATTTGACAGTCAAAAGCAGAAATCCACTCCACAGCTTATTTTAGCCACAGAGTGAAATAATCTGATATTGCAATTGCATTAGGCGGTACAGTTCAATTTTTAATAATTACTTGTTAAAATTCAAAGATACTGAATTGTTTATTCCATCAAGGACAAAACAGCAAGTAATCCATGTTGAAAAATTTTTTTTCTTTTTTTTTTTTCTTTTTTGAAAGCTGTACATTAAAAGTTTAAGGAGGAAAAACTTCCAAAAGTGACATGACTATGATTTAAAACCCCATCCAAAAAAAAAAAAAAAAAAATTATATATATATATATATATATATATATATATATATATATATATATATATATATATATATATATATATATATATATATATATATATATATATATATATATATATATATATATATAGAAAATGTAACACCTCAATTTGCTTTTTCCCCTTCAATAGAATAAGTATTCAACTTCAAAATAAACTTTCACAAAAGAAAACACTCCAGTATCTAGTCCTACCATGGGGATAAAAGCTGAATACAGTAACTTTCCTCATACCTCAGAGTCCCGCTAGTGTAATTGGTATCCAGCATTTCCACCAATTTGTCCTTAAAGTTGGGTTATATCACCTAAACAAGCAAGAAAAAAGTGACTTTAGTGCACATTTACAAGAAATTCTACTTTGCAAACGCCTTAATACTAAAACGGAAAAAATATAAAGATTTTCAGAATGTATTTGTTTAACACAGGCTAAAACAGAGTCCGACTCAGCGGCCGTTTGAATGACAGCTGTGGATTCGTGAACGGTTAGCAAGAAACATACGAAACATACGAAACAACAAAGAATAAATCATATTCGTGATGAAAATTATCCTATTTATAAGCTAACACTTACACAAAAAAGCTGGCGTTCAAAAACAAGCGCGAAATCCGACTGCGTCACGGTGAGTGGGGTCACATTCACACAGGTGCCCGGCGGTAGCCAATTAGGCAAATTGGTTAATTGGACGCCCAGCCGCGCGCACTAAAGGGACGCTGCGACATTACATTACAGATAGAAGTAGGTTACTCTACTCTACTCTACTCTACTCTACTCTACTCTACTCTACTCTACTCTATCTATCTATCTATAGATATTACATTACATTACAGATAGAAGTAGGTTACTCTACTCTACTCTACTCTATCTATCTATCTATCTATCTATCTATCTATCTATCTATCTATCTATCTATCTATCTATCTATCTATCTATGAAATCAAAGAGAAGATCTGATTGCTGGTGGAGGAGAAGAGGGACATGAATGAAGGAACAAAAAGAACAATGACTAAATCTTATGGGAATATTTAAAAGACTTATGGTATTGAATAAACCATAAAATATACAGGAAATTAATTCACACAAATGTAAGCAGTTTTTCATATGTTATTTCAGAGGTCTTCAACAGGGGGTCCGCGACCCCTAGGGGTTCCGCTGAGGTACTGCATGGGGGGTCGCAAAGTTTTGGTTGATTTTTTTTTTTTACTTTTTATTAATATATATAATTCCCCCCATCTTTCCATGAATTGAAATGTTTTTAAATACACATTAACATGAATTCAACACACTGTAGTAAACAGATTAATGGAGGGAGAAGATGTCTTTCTGTCATCAATGCACACATTCAGCGACACACAGGAGCTCTTTCAAGCTGGGCACCGTTCCATTCACAACACCTGTCCCATCAACCAGGAATCAGAATCAGAAACACTCTAATAAACCCAGGGCGAAATTACTTTTGTTACATGATTCCGTCTGTAATAGAGTGACTATAGGACCAGTTTGATATAACACAATTTCATACAATATATATAATTAGGGGTCCCCGCTCCATCTCACCGTCAGTTTGGGGGTCTTTGGCCCGGGAAACATTGAGCCCCTGTGTTATTTCATTTTATTTTAATATATAAAATTTACATGTAGAAAATAAGTCTAATCTTGCTATCATTGGTATATTGTGTACTAAAGAACATAGGGCAAAATAAATTTAAAAAAGAAACATAAAAAGGACAAGCAAAGTTCAACATTTTAACAGCTTGAGGCAGACAGCATGTGCGGAGGTCTTTTGTTGCTGCTTGATGTCGTTTGGCTGATGGCAAAATACGAAAATGTCCTGAGAGGGTGTGAGGAGTCTCTGACTATGTCTGATCCCATGTTACTGCAGCCTCCCTGTCTTTACACAGAGGAATGGGGGCAGCGCAATTACTTTTCAGCCCCCCAGTTCCCCTCTGCAGAGCCAACTACATAGAAGGCTATTATAAGGTGTTATATTTTTTGTATTAGGTGGACAAGGTGTTAAACAATGTTTTTTCTAATTGTCCTTAATTAAATAAAAGCAACAGGTAAAACAAGAAGGCACAGGAAAATATGCAGTCCATTTCACGTCTATATGTTCTGATTTTAGACATAGCTTTTTTAAAGAGTACTTACTGAGCATGACAAAGCATTGTCCATGATTAACAGCTGCTATTTTAAATCTGAAATTATTTACCCTTCTAACCTTACATTCATTAATCCCCATCTACAAATATACCAGTTCTTTAAAGAAAAACTGCAAAAGTTTTCCAGAATTGATCAGGACACATTTTACAATATGTTTTTTTATTCCTTTTTTTATGTTTTTTTCAAATCCATGTTAATGGAATGAACACATTTTGTCTCAAGCTTGAAGGAAATCAATGTCTTTATGAATAAGTCTTGTAAACCTTAAACAATCAGCTGGCAATTCATGCAAAAATTATTCCTTGTAAATTTTAAAAAGTTAACTTTTCATATTTCGCTCTGCTAATTTATCTCATTACACTACATTTTCAGAAATAAAGCCTCTTGTTGTCATGACAACAACTTCAAAGCTGAAATACAGTATGTGTTATCTGCTATATTTGGTCTTTGAAGATATTTCTGAAACCCAAGTTATTGGTTTTTTTTTATTAAGAAGATGGATTTAAAAAGGCATTCATTAAGTAAAATATATGCATTTTCTTTATAATGTCACTATATCCATTGTACTTTCAATATTAGGGAAAAATAGGTGAAAAGCAATCAGTGGTTGTTATAAGCAACCATTTCCTTTAAAAGATATGAGTAGATTTGTATAAAAAAAGGATTCACTCACCACTACCTACTGTGAACCTTCAGTCTTCCCTATAAGCCAGATTTGAGCTTTTAACATAAAGCTCACCCCTCTGCATATGGATTTTAGCATGATATTATACAAAATTAGTTCTTGTATTAACTCGGATAAAGACATTAAACAAACAAAACTTAATTAATGCAATTTTTGTTTGAGGCAAGGTCAAATATTATGTGGTTGCAGATGTACATGTGTAAAGACTGTAAAATAAATCTCAATGTTAAATCCTCTAGATCTTCTTAGAGGCCGTGACTAACCCTAGAATACATTCAAGTCAATATTAAAGATCTTTTATGGTAGTTTAACTGCAAAGATTGGTCTGAAAAAGCCACAAATTACACGGTGTGAAAATGGCTTAACAGTCCATAAAACACCATCCAGAGACATGGCGAAGAAGCATTATATCGTAGAACTGCTTTCTTCATAGAAAGACTTGCAAGCAGGTAAAGTGTAGAGAGATGCAGGGTATAGATATACCAATTGTGCCATTGCTGCAGTAATACTGGCATCATACCTCACCAATGCATAAAAGTAAAGCTCCTCATCTTCTGCCCATGTTCTGACTCTTACCTTTGGATATGAGAATTGGGTCATGGCTGAAAGAATTAGATAGCAGATAAAGGCTGCTGAAATAAGCTGCATTCAAGATGGGCTCTGCTTTCTGGGCTCTGCTTTCTGGGTATACACCACTAGGAGGATGGATGGATGGATGGATGGATGGATGGATGGATGGATGGATGGATGGATGGATGGATGGATGGATGGATGGATGGATGGATGGATGGATGGATGGATGGATGGATGGATGGATGGATGGATGTTATTGTTTTAGAATGAGAATGGTCCAATAAAAATCCAGACCTTAATGTGATGCAGAATATCTTGGTAAAATAACATAACTTCAATTTGTTTATCATCATTCAGAGTAATTCAATTGTAGCTGTAATATCTTGAGGATATTACAGCTAGAATTGTCTAATTTTATGATATATGATATCACACTGTTCATGAAATTATATATTTATCTTAAAATATATCTCAGTTACTCAAATGACATTTAAAAAACGTATTTTGATCAATCAAACAACTTAAGACTGTAGGATCATTTAATTGACTAAATGTTTATTTGGCTATTTAGGACCAATTACTAATTATTATATGCAGTATACCGTAAGTATTATATTGTACATGACAAATTTTTGCTTTGTTTTTTTTTTTTTTTACCTCCAGTAGTTATTCTGTAATAGTAAAGCTAGATGTCTTTGTTTAAAAAACACGGAGTGGAAACCAGTGACTAAGGGCTCCTGAATTGTGCGTGTGTGTTTCCCGCGTGGATTAGAGGGTCAGATTAAAGAGTGATAGAAAGAAATAGTCGCCAAATCCAGCCCTCATCTACCCCTTACCCCAACCCCCTTACCTCAGCCTGGGGTTTGAATTAATGTGTTTCTATTTTTGGCTCTCCAGTGTTTCCAGGGGAAACCTAATGACGCAATGACGTCAATGCAGGTCACCAGCAAGAAGCAGACTGGAGGAATTGAGTGGCTTCCATTAGAGGTTTTGCAGCATTTTCAAGAGACGGAGAAGAAGCAGGGTAGAATATAAAGATTAAGATTAAGAAATGCACGGATCATAAATGAATAAATACAGAGAGAAATGAAAGGGAACCGATGCGACTGACGTCTGGGAAGAGAAATGATTGAGGGCGGGTGAGAGGGTGGAGGTGGAGGGGTGGCGGTGGTGCTGAGGGGACCCTACTGCTGCATATCAATGGGTGCCGTCCAAATTCCCAGGGATTATTGGAAAGGAAAATGGGGGGAAGGATCAACGCTTCCTTGGATCGGTGACGACTGGGTGAGTCTATTCTATTTTTATTACTAAAACTAGATTTGCTTATCGCAGAAGTGAGTAAAACAACAAGGCGCCAGCCTGTTTTGTCTTTATGGTCAGTTTGCCAGATAACATTGAGAAATGTGTCACGCGTTTTCAAACGTTAGTGGCCACCAGAGAGACGCGTTGATGCGAAACAGACACATTAGAGCGAAAGTGTAGAGTTTCAGCGAGTTGATTGCAATTCTCCATGATTAACGCGCAGCTGTAGACGTGCACCATCTAGTCCAAAGCCTTGCTGTTCGGATGCAACACCAACTCTGCATCCATCGATATGTAGTGCTTGTATTTACAGCATTACCTCCAAGGAGAAACACCTCTACTATCTGTAACTATAATTCTTAGACCGCTCACTGTATTTTGTGAAACAGAAGGAACGCTCTTATGTGCAATCTAACTGAGATGCAGGTAATTAAATGCGCTGCATTTATTTAGACTGAAAAAAAAACTAAAAAATGTTTAAAAAAAATTCACAGAGAAAGTGATGCTTCTAATCATTTTTTTTTTATCAAAATGATCCACTCATTTTCACTGCCAGGCTATGGGTGTGTGTGTGTGTGTGCGTGTGGTGTGTTTGTATGTGATCATGATGGAGATGTTGTTGGTTGTGTCTGTGTGTGTGTGTGTGTGTGTGTGTGTGTGTGTGTGTGTGTGGTGGTGGTGGTGGTGGTGGGGGGGGGGTCTTTTGTGTGGAAAGTCACGTTACTTATATTTAACACAGAATGGCTGAGAGTACACCAAGTGCACGGGTGTGCACACGCAAATGTTGCACACTTTGCGGATATCAAGGCGTTGTGGCAACAAGTGTCAATTCGTGCGCAGAGAATTCAGCCATGGCCCATGGCCGATTGAAAATGATCATTATTGTTATTATTATTATTTGTCGGACGGGGTTGTTAAGATTTTTTTTACTTTTATTTATTTATTGGGCACCAACACATTTGCTTGTATTTATTAATTCTTTGATAAACTGGCCTCCAAGTGCAGGGCGTTTACCACGCAGACGGAGCCGGTTTCAGAACCATGGACAGCTCAGTGTATTTTTTGACCAGAAGTAGTCTTCGTTTTATTTGCTTATTTGTCTTTGATGAAAGTAGCTACGGATACTTCAAGGTACGCCAATTACGTTTTAGAAAATAAGAGATGAATAATTTATTTATTTATTTATTTTCTCTTGTATGTATAATTCATGTGTTAAGGTAAAAGTGTCTGTGCAGATGGTCCAGGTTGTTGGTCCCCCTCCACCCTGGTCTTGAAGGAGGACACATATGCAAAGGCCTCTTCACCCAGATGTGCCTGTGTACATCTCCAACACACACTACCTTTATGCCCATCTTTATAAACCAGTGCTTTATTGGAGCATGAAATTTTAAGACTGCAGTCCTCCCCATGGAATATGCTTACAAATTGTACCAATATTTCTTGTTTTTCGGAAATGTAAGCAATTAGTTTGCATTTATTTTAAGTAACTGACAATCTTTCATGAATTAAAAAAACCTCATAATTTCCCTAATTCAAAAGAAAAGTTACAGTATTGTGATCAAGAGCTTAAGATGCCCACTTAAAAGCAATAGTTTATCCTTTAGAGCTCATATATGGTAGGAATTATTTGGCTGGAACAGCTTATAATCAGAATGGGGTGTTTTATTTTACTTTGAAAGTGTTACTCTTTACAAAAAAGGAAAATTGTAATGCATGTAACTTATTATTAGAATAAGTGAACTTATGTATGTGCATTATGTAACCAATCCTAATAACCCAAAAATCATTTTAAAAATATTTAAAAAGTGCAGATGAGGAAGTTATTATAGGTCAAAATGTCTAATAGTTAGATATAAACTGTTGACAGGGAAGATATTTTTTAATAAATTGCATTCCTTGAATATTGCATTTTTGATGGTTCAGTTTTATGTGATTGGTTCACTTTGTGTTTTTGTATTGCATTTACAACATAGTGGTTTTGCAGGTGTTGTATTGTATAAACAGCACATTATTAGCAGCTATATTTGAGAAACATGCGATTTGTTTTAACATTTTAAAGTATTTTTTTCTATAGGTTCATGTTTTTTGCCTGGAGATGATGGGTGCTGGATATAACGAACTAATATGAGTTTATGATGTGAGGGTTCTATGTAAAGCAGAAGATTAACTTTTCATACTTGATTGTATATCTCTAGAACTGGATGTATATATATATATATATATATATATATATATATATATATATATATATATATATATATATATATATATATATATATATATATATATATATATATATATATATATATATATATATATATATATATATATATATAAAAACTGTTTTCTCACCCCTCGTTGGGTGGTATGTGTCATCCTCAAGCTCGGGTCCTCTACCAGAGGCCTGGGAGTTTGAGGGTTCTGCGCAGTATCTTAGCTGTTCCTAGGACTGCGCTCTTCTGGACAGAGACCTCTGATGTTTTACCTGGAATCTGCTGTAGCCACTCTCCCAGTTTGGGGGTCCCAGCCCCCAGTGCTCCAATTACCACTGGCACCACTGCTGCTCTCACTTTCTACATCTTTTCTAGCTCCTCCTTCAGTCCTTGGTATTTCTCAGGCTTCTCGTGTTCTTTCTTCTTGATGTTGCTGTCGCTTGGGATTGCCACATCTATCACTACTGCCTTCTTCTGCTGCTTGTCCATCAACACGATGTCTGGTTGGTTAGCCATCACCTGTTTGTCAGTCTGGATCTTGAAGTCCCACAGGATCTTAGCTCGGTCATTCTCAACTACCTTAGGAGGTGTCTTCCATTTTGACCTTGGGACTTCCAGCCCATACTCATGGCAGATGTTCCTGTACACTATGACAGCTACCTGGTTGTGGCGTTCCATGTATGCACTTCCTGCCTGCATTTTACACCCTGCTGTTATGTGCTGTATTGTTTCAGAGGCATCTTTGCACAGTCTGCATCGGGGGTCCTGCCTGGTGTGGTAGACCCTGGCCTCTATTGATCTTGTACTGAGTGCCTGTTCTTGTGCTGTCATGATTAGTGCCTCTGTGCTGTCCTTCAGTCCAGCCTTTTCCAGCCACTGGTAGGATTTTTTGATATCAGCCACTTCTTCTATTTGTCTGTGGTATACGCCGTGCAGCGGCTTGTCCTTCCATGATGGTTCTCCTTCCTCTTTCTTGTCCTCACTTTCGGTTTTCTCCTGCCTGAGGTACTCACCGAGCCATTTGTCATATATATATATATATATATATATATATATATATATATATATATATATATATATATATATATATATATATATATATATATATATATATATATATATATATATATATTTATATATATATATATATATATATATATATATATATATATATATATATAAATATATATATATAAAATCACAAATGTGTAGTTTCTTTCAGAGGAGATTTGTTTTTGGGGTTTTTTTCTCTTGATAGGTTTAATGTAAATGACCAGATATAAACTAGTTGTGTTTGAATTTGTATCAAGAACCGTTAGTAAATTTGTAAATGCTCTTCAGCTTGGTTTGTGGAACAATTGTGTTGAAAAAATATTACATTAGGTTAAATACATTTAGTGATGTTAGTGGTGCTGAATTCTGTTTAGACTTGTGTAAAAAAAAACAAAAAACAATGGTTTTACATTTGCAGAAAAGTGTTTAGACTGTAGCCAAATGGTCAGATAAATCACAAGACTAGTTCCATACACACAAAACTTTATACAACCTATTGCATATATTTTGTCAGGTGGTCATTTTCTATATTAGAGAGACTGAATGAGAAAGTCTGAGGTTTCCTCTTGTGTAATACTGTTAATTTATCTGTTGCTTGTGTCCCAGTGGGAGACTATGATCAACTGGAGAGGGGTGTGTGAAGCTCATTCAACTTTTTATGCTAAGTACATTTTTCATGTTCTTCTATGAAGTCTTTAAATTCAAAGTTAGCAGCATCTGTTTCTAAACAGGATGTGTGCTGCTGTAGAGGAGATTCCTAAAGTATAAAGCTCAAAAACTGTGTTCTCTCTGATTTTAAACTGAATCATGCTTCTTCTTTGAAAGGACCGCAACACTTGTTTTTCATATTTGGATAAAGAACCATAATCAGTGAATTTCAGAGGTTCACAGCATCCCCACAAAAAATAAAACAAGAAATGGAGCAACACCAGTCAAGATGTTGACTTATGTGGAATAGAATAGCAGCATTTTGGTTAATGTACTTCAGCAGAAAATATTAATCTTTTAATTAATTTTTTAACCCTTTAGCTTGATCTATTAGTCTTTGTTGTAGACAAAACCATTACAATACCTACCACAGAAGATAACAAATGCAGTCTGGGTCAAAAACCGTCTGGATCAAAGACCTGTGTTCAGGCAAAATACTTTTAGGCATGTGACCATAAAGTTTTCAACGTTTGCAATTTTACTATCTTAGAGGATTCTTTTATATCCTACATGCATTTTCTGAAAATGCCTATTGACACATAAGGGAGAAGTGATTTTTATTTGCTAAAACCTACTCATCTTTTAAATCATTGCAAATTGCTAAAGATTTCTCTTCTTTCTCTAGGTCCTGAGGAAACCACCTTGGGGAAAAGAAAAGAAAAATACCAGACATTTGTCCTTTGTGGGTCTTTTTGCGGTCTGGGCTTGCTGTTCCTAAGGCAGTAGCCAGGAAGCCCTTACCCCAAAAAGTATCTGCAGTGGATTCTGGCATCTGAAGCAGACGTCACTCATTCTCTCTGATGAAACACAACTTATCTCTGAACCCCAAGGCTTTTGCTGTGTCAGAATTTTTTTTCTTTCTAAAATGAAGAAGAAACTTGGATCAAGCATTGACTGAAGAGGGTGTGGCCTGAAAAGAATGTTTTATATGAGTAAATCTGAAAATTTTATCTAAGGAAGTAGCTGAATGTTCATTGTATACAAAGCAACTGTGATTAAAATTTTAGAGGATGCATTAACAAATCTTTTATTAATTGTTACATGCTTTTAAACAAATATCTATCCCCTGTGCTTCACATTTTCAGTGTCCACTGTATTGCAGCTAGATTAGAAAGCTTCCCCCTATAAGAAGCCCAAAAACAGGATGCAAGCGGTGAATGACAACGTTGAGGATAAATGGACACGTTGCTCTAAGCCTTTGATGTACTATGTGTTAAATTAATGTGATTATTTATACAAAGCCATGAGCCTTGACACTGGACTTTATGTATCAAAACCAGAGGGACTTTATGTGCTTTGAAAAAGACTTTGTGACGTCATTGCTTACAGGACATGAACATGCTCTTAATAAATGTTACACACAAACACCAACAGTATTGCTTTGCAGAAAACACAATTAGCCACACAAAACAGGTTATATTACACAGATCACTCTGTGTTTTAATGTTGTGCTTTCCCTTTTTTCTATCTTTATATCATTTCATTTTTCTTTTGGTGTTTGATGCTGTCTCTTAAAACAAACATCTTTAAGATAAACCCAAACACATTAAAGATTTCTAATTCCAAGTTTAAAAGAAAAACTACAGCAATTCTCCCAAACAATACACGCCCTCCTCCAAAATGACAGAAAACAGACCAGGTGCAGGTGGAAAGTCTTTTTACGTAATGTCTGAGTGCCTGCAGCCACCAATAGCCAAACAGGTTCTTCTGACTGGCCTGCAGCCACCAATAGCCAAACAGGTTCTTCTGACTGGAGCTGGATATTCCCAGTTTAAACAACGCCCCCTCTATTTGTGTGTCACACATCGCCCTTGGAAATAGGGCAGTGACTCATCCATGTCATCAGACAGAAACGTGGGGTGTGGATGCAATTTTGCTCTTCTTCCTCTTGTAACAGAGTAAATTGATTTTGTAACCAACGGCAAAAGGCAGCGGTTTAACTACTTACTTATTTGTCAAATACATTTTGCTGCATTTATCTTTTATTTTGTCGATGGCCTCTTATATTTGGAGCTCAGATTATGTTTTGTTTTGATTAAGTAAGAGATGCATTAAAATACAAGTTGAATTTCCCAAATATTTCAAGGCTTTCCCTATTTTTAAATGGCTTTGGAAAAAATAATCTGGAAAAGTGGAAAAAAAATAGTGTGGAGTGAGGAGACAAACCATACTATGTGGAAAGCCTGTCAGTAGCTGGGTGAATATAGCCCTCCTGAGGATTTATTTGGTATTGCAATCAGCAAAAGGCAATGCATTAATGACAAAAAATGAAGAATAAAAAATACAAACCATTGCAACAATTATAATGGTTTCTGTAATACATTAAAAAAATTATTGTTCAAAAGTCCTTTGGTCCTGTCAAAGTATTATTAGTTATAATGTCAGTGGTGCATTTGAATGAATAGATGTCAAGTTTTGTTTAGAGTTTTCAGGTATTGGCAATCGTATTTTATTTTATTTTAAATTGTACTTAAATCTATTATTTTATTTCATGAAATCATAAAGCTGTATTAGTTCGTTCATCTGCCAACATCTCAGACTTTTGCTTATCTCATTCTAAATTCTTGATCTATTCAAAAAGTGCCTGTGTGACAGAAGCATGACCTTATTGGGCAGTACATAAAACATCAGATTTATTTTAAAAAGGAGGTAATTATACATACATATTTTTCATGCACCTTTTTTTGTGTTTTTTGTGTATTTTAGTTGCCATTTAACAAAACCTATTAAGGTTAAGGTTAAGGTTTAATTCATAATCAGTGTTTTGATGTCTGCTCCTGAAAAATAAAAAGGTTATCATAACTGTCCTAATACTCTTGGTAATACTGATGTACTAGATTTGATTTGGTCACTTTTGAAATTGATTTAGTTTATCTTTAAGCCATCAATTTGACCAGAGTCCTTGAATGCTGTATTATTTAGCTATATAAACATTGTTTTTATTTTGCCTTCATACTGTGGTGTTATTTTGTGGTGTCAAATATTGCAACTCAAAATTAAAAAATGTTCCATCTTGCATCTTCAGAATTTAAGTTTAGGAATTAAATCTTAATCTGATGCCAAAGTTGTGAGGGCATACCCAGTGTGAGGATAAATACAGCTAAAGACAAGCAACATTATTGACAATTTATCTGGTCTTTCTTATCTAGTTGATTCACACAACTGCTCCAGAAACAGCAATCAGATTAGTGGGACATCACTGGTAACTATACAGCAGGAAAATAAGTATGAAATATATTACTGTAGCCCAAAGGTATTTCTAATGGGGCTGTTGATATGAAATCCAAACCAGATGAAGATGGAAATTGCTTGTTCCACCAAATAATGTTAAAGAAACCTTTAAGAAGTTCCTGTATTCTGGTTCTGCGGTGGACCATCATTAAAATATAATGAATTGTTCCTTAGACGGAGGTGGACCTTTGCTAAAATAAATCATTAAAATCTGTTCTTAACTTTTCAAGTCATCCTGTGCACAGACAGACAGACAGCCCTAAAAACCTAACCACCATTGTGAAGTAAATAAAGGCTGTTAGGAGTTTTGGGGAAAATGCAATTGGCCTTTCTAAGTATATAAGTTTTTATTATATTAAAGTAGAGGGGCAGTTGGGGGGCCAAAGCTCTACAGCAGGAGGGGCAGTTGCCCTGATTTGCACCCCTCTGGACCTCCCCCTGAATCCAACCACTCCATCTTCAACAAACATGTGAAAAGAAACCTGTGGTTTTGGAAAAGATGCAAGTTTATTCAAAAATTGTCAAATCATTAGCATGTTTCAAGCAAAGAATGTCTAAACAAGGTTATTATACTTTTGGAAAAATTTCCAGTTTATTTTCCTGTAACATTTGTTTTTCTCTAATTCACTGAATTTTCTTTATACTAGTTGTTAAATTAGCTGCTGTTATTTAAATAATACTTAATTTTAGATTAGCTTTAATTAATTGATTCTAGCTTAAGGATTCAAAAAGGTCAAAGTATGGTATTTATTACATCGTGCATATAAATATATAAAACTAGACTCAAGACACCATTTGTTAACACCAACTGGTTAATTTGGAAGTTACTTTAAATAATTTGTGTTGGGAAAAAATATGTTTAGATCAGTTTGAAGGCTTATAAAAAAACATTAAACAAAAACAATGGGTACATATCTCTATTATTCGCAGTTAAAACAAAGGTTTTTATTAATTTTTTGCATTAGTTTGAGGTATCTATGACAACTCATTATGTAGAGACATTGCAGAAACTATTGCAGTTAACTTAAGTATTGTCCAAAACATCGTCTTAAAAAAAAATACACTTGTTTGAAAAATCATACTGATTGCTCTTGATTGTAAAACAGTTTAACATTCCAAATCAAATCACATAATAAAAACACATTCAAACTCATATATTTTCATATATTTTAATAGTAAAAATAACTGTATTTTCACACACACAATGCACAGAGAACTGAAATGACTGGCAATACACAGCTTTATAGCCATAAGAAAAACATCAGTAAGGTTAGGTGGAACAAAAGGCAACAGTTTTCTAGAAAGCATAAATTCTTGAGTCTGGAAGAATGGATGAGGTTTAGGTTTATCCTGTTCCAGAGGGATGGCCACATCAGGGTAAAATAAAGGCAGGTGAACTGATTACCTTATCACGCCTTCAGCTATGAACTGAACTCGCTACAGCTGGTCAGGTCGAGTTTCAACAACATTTTGCACCCAAGGAATTAAGTCAGCTATCTGAATAAATTGAATGAACAGTTTATTCCACCAGTTACCTTTTCACTTCTAACTACACAGGCGTATTCCAAGATTACAATGACAGGATTCAATGTGAGAGAGCAAATAAGAGAACACGAGACATGTTCTCCGAGCGACCACCCCACCACTCCCATGGATGGGCCAACAAAGAAATTAGACCCTTGACCCATTAAGAACCTTTGGGATGTACAGGAAAAGGCTTGACTGGTCAGACTCTCCCATCACCAACACAATATTCTGCTGTAAAAATTATTCAGCAGTTGATGGAAATACATCTTGTGACATAGCAGAAGTTCATTAAAATAATACAACAGTGGTTTCCTAGCAACGGTCGTCTGCTATGTTGACTTACTGGAATTGATCAAAGGATGCCTTCCAATTAATATATCTTCCCAGATACAATTTTTTCCCACACTGAGACAAAGCATTTTCTTGTGCTTCCAACTCTTACAAAACATCAGGTTTAGTTATTGCGTAAGAGAGGTTGGGATTTCGTTTTATGAAAACAGTTATGAAAATAAGGAAATGTTGTGGTTTTTTGTTTTTCGTATAGAGCACTCTAATGATGTTTATTTTAAATGATCAAATCAACTCAAAAGGAAAATAATTAAATTGGTTATGATTGGGACCATGTGGATGAGATCAAATCTTCAAAGTCCACAATTTATAACATTGCCAACATTGAAAGTTACTAAAGCTTTTGCAAAACAATCTGATCTTTTTATATTTTAAGTAATTATCTGAAGTCCTACTGTAGATATCTTATCATTAAGGCAGTTAATGTTGTTGGAAAAATCTGCAAATGTTGCCAAACACTCACATTTCTTAAGAGGTCAGACAAGAATAACTGTCGGCATCTGTCCCGTTTTGGTTTTGTTTTCACTCTAACACTTCTAATCTCTACAAAATGTAAGCTGAATCTTAGAGCAGAGATTGGAAATTTAATAAGCTTCTTCTTCCTACATCTCTTTTTCAAACCATTCAGGTGAGTGTATATGTGCACATCTGAAAAAAAGAACAGTTGGATTTAAGAGTTGATCTAATATTTTGTGTTAACATGGATCAGTTTCATAATAGACACAGGGGGAAATTCACTCAAAAATCAATGGTTTCAAGAGTTACATGATGAATTCAAAAAAGGAAAAAAAAAATCTAAACTTTTTTAGGATTGAGGTTTTATTTATACAACTTTCTCAAAATAGTACAACTGAAATAGTCTTTAAACAAATTTCTAAACAGGGAAATACACTAAAAAAGGTGATTATATATGCCAACAGATACCACAGTACTTTTTCCATATGTAATGACTTAAATCAAGATTAAACCAAAGCATTAAAAACAATAATGGAAAATTATTCAGTTTAAACAAATCTATCTACAAAATACATTTATCCAATGCTGCTGTGTTGTTCATTGAACATATATACAGCGTATTTTAAAAGAAAAGAGAAAACAATAAAAGGGTGCACCTCAAACTAGTACTATGTTGAGATGTGTTTTTTTTTTTTTTCCAGGCTTCGATAGGACTCTAACAGCACCCAAATTCTGACTTGGTGATATTGGTCCAGTTGAGTTTTAAAAAGCTCCACATGTCTACCATAGATAGACATGTCTTGTCCTCATCTCTTTTCACATGATGCCACTGATTCTTTGTCAGACTGCCACATGTAGCAGACAGACTTTACAGTCTTTTTCCGTTGCTCTCAGCCTAATAAAAAGATACTTAATGTAAAGAACCAATATAATGGCTGAATTTTACCTTAGCAAACCCAAGAACTGTCATGATTTTGGCGCTGGCTTGATTACTCATTTCATTCACCTGTCTAGCTCTCCCCCATTTCTCATCACTCCTCATCTGATCCACCAGCTCCTGCTTCTAACTCTTTGGTCCCAACCGTATGCCAGATTATTCTTGAGTCTTTGGTGTAGAAGGTTTTTGTGTCATTACTATAGTGTTCTGCTTGCCTCATCATGACCAGTTTCTGTATTCTGATTTTTGAGCCTGCCTGCCCCAGTCTGATCTATTTGCCTGACCTGTCTTCGGACGCCTGGTGGATTCTTCTGTGGACTGGAAATGCCTCTTTACTTCGACCTGTGGATTATCCTGCCTTCCTTCGTCGATCGGATCTGACCTCCTGTCAGCTCTGCAGCCTTCCGTATCTTGAACTCTCTTGACAGCATCCGCAGCGTCTAGTCAGCCTACCGGCAGCGGCTGGGATCATCCTCTTTCTCTGAGCACGGACTGAACTGTCTAAACAAGTTAGTGACTCACGAGTTCCTAATCATCCTCCATCCGTTTTAGTGATCACTAACCTGTGTTTCTCCCCTATAGACATTCCTGAGATAGATGCCCTGGCTCCTGCTTCTGCAGATCAGTTTGTTTAAATAAACACTTTTAAGTTATTCCACTGTCTATCTTGCCTGAAATCTGGGTCCTGTGTTCTGAGCCTTGACAGAACACCAAACTAAATCAAGCATTATTGGGTTTTCAATATGATGACAGAGGACTTTTTTTCTTCTTACAGATTTCTAGGACCGCTAGTAATACTGTGGGAAAAAAAATTTTTTATACAAAGCATTTCTTTATTACTACCTGATTTAAAACCATTAAAATACCCTTTTTATCATGTAGAGGTGTACAACTTATCCATCACATTTACCTGTATGTTTTCCAGTAAATGACATCTTAATAGGAATTAAACAGGATGTGCGTGGGCCCAAAAAGATTGAGTCAGCACCTGTTCTCATGGTTTCGAGTATGGATTTACTAACTTACCTAGCAGGGTCAAACTCAGGTTTGAGCCAAAGGGGAAGAGAGAGGACGGGAAAAGACCCAGGCAAGACCAGACAGGACTTATGCTGGGGGACGACTATTTAAATGACATCTGTTACAAGGGAAGAGCTATGACTTTCATTCATTGCCACTTAAGGACAAACAGAAGTCAAAATACAAAGGTAAGGAAAAACATATTTTTAGGAAGGAAAAAAAATTTACTTTATTGAACTATATTGAAGTGCTAAAATAATCTAAACATATCATTTTAGTGGCAGTTTATTGAGTTCTTGTTTTATGATGTCTAAGTATGACTTTCTCCATTTCATTTTTCAAGATGTGCATCCCTCTGGCCCTTTTGGTGCTCTCTCTAATCACAGCTCCTGAGTGCACAGCTCTTCCAATTCAGAGCAACTCCATCAGAAATAACATACACATCATTCAAAACATTATTCAGATAACTCTAGTCCACATTAAGAAACTGGCGAATGAGGTATGCACAGTACTTAATGCATCAAATGCTTCTATTGAGTTTCTATGAGCAAGATTTGCTTACCCTTAGAAAAGAGAACCAGAAATCATTGCAACAACATTTTTCTTATATGTTCCTATTTCCCGCCATGGCAGGTAACCTCACGGATAGAAGTATCCACTCCATCCATCAATGGACTGACTGGCATCAGCCTCTACCTTGAGTATTTAGATAATGAACTGCAGAGCCCGTTCACAGATCTCCTGAAGCAGATTCAAGCTGATGTTTCCGGTCTGGACAAAAGAGTGCGCTCTCTCGCCTTAATAATTGACTGTCCCATCCAGGAAAAAACAAGTAGAGAGCCGCCTGTGTATTTGTTCCCTGACAGTCAGCACTATGTGACGTTGGCAAAAGTACAGAACTACCTGGAGAACCTTCTTTTAAATAAGGACAAACTTGAGGTGTGTTGACAAATATGCTTATATTTAACAAAAATGGTGCAATGATGTCAATATTTATATTTTTATGTGTTTTTATAGAGATATTTAACTGCTAAATAAATAAATACTTAAGCCAAAGAGATATTTTATTAGTATAAGCTTTAGGCAGATGGTAACTGCTTTAAAATGCATATGAATTAACGTTACTTTTGTAAGTAGTTCTTATTGAAAACTTATGACACAGTTTTAAGCAGAAGCACTTTAAGGAAAAAAATCTATACAGCCAAGTGCATTTTTTTATTATATTGAAAAAAACATTGATTTGTTAAATGAACTTTTTTTTTTCTTTTCATATTTTGTTACCTCAACAAAACTTTTTTTATATTGAAGTTGTCCAATAAATATATTTAATAGAATTAATTTTTCTTTTTTTGGTTGTTTTTTGTTTACAAAAAAAGTTTTAACCTTCTGCAAAATTATTGCATTTTAAGGAGATCTTATTACTTTACAAAGAGTCATCATAATTATGCAGAACTATATAAATATATATATATATTATAAAGATAAATAAAAAACAGAATATTTAGATTTAGCCGCTAGAACAGTCAATGACAAAATATTTGTCTTGGAAAAGAATGCTATATGAACTGTCTGTATCTTAAGGTTTTAGGGTAAAATGTGACACCCTCTATAAAATAGAAATGTATAATCAGGCAGAACTGGAACACTGAAAATAAAAAATGTTGAGTCTTTGGCCCAAAGGATGAACTTCCATCTATTGATGAGAACCTCGAGATATTGTTGAGAGGCAAATGTGGTTGAAATCCCACCGCTTAAAGTCTATATTCGGGAATATGTATTTATGTAAAAGGTGTCCTTCTTTTTTTCCTTCAGTTTCTTATTTTTTCCTTGATTAAAAAAGAAGAAAGTTCTTAGGCGTTATTGAGGCTAAATAGATCAGTTGTTCTCCAATGACAAACAAGCACATACTTAGAATACTTATTGACATGTTCTTATTTGCTCCCATGATTCCATTTCTGTTTGGAATTTATTCTAAAAAAACAATTTTGAGCATCAGTTTATTTTAGCATGAGACTGTAGGACATCTTTGGAAGCAAATAGTTCAATGTACAAGGGAAAATAAAAAGACTAATACTTTTAATTGAAGAAAAAAAAAACCCTTTCACTTTAAAGCAACATGTGGTTTGGTGTCCAGTAAAGGTAACTATAGCTTCTGTCTGTCATGAAACGAGGACAGATGGACCCAGTACTCAGGACAGACAGTCAGTAGGAAAGTTCAAAAGGTTTATTAAAATAAAACAAAACAAAAGCGGAGCTGTGGCTCGCAGACACTGCAGGCGGGGGGCGGGGCACCGCCCAATCTCAGACACTCTGGTTTAACAGTCCAGACCACGAGTGTCCCCAGTGCTGCAGTCCCAGGGGTGATGCTGGAAGCTGATCCTGGTGAGGGATCCAAAACAGACAGAAACAGGCAGGATCCAGATCAGACAGGAACAGAGACAGGTGGCAGGATCCAGACTTCCAGGCATGCACAGGCTTCCAGGAGGGTTCAGAGTCTTACTGGACCAGAAGCATGACCAGGTGGTCACGCACAGGAGCAGACAGTATCAGGTGCAGATGAGCAGGCTCAGTGGAAGAGGGTAGCCGAGACAGGACGTAGGAACCGGAACTTGAAGCAGGACTTTAAACTGGTCTCCTCCTGGAGCCAGGCTTACTTAGATAAAAACTGAACCTCCCCCCATAATGAGCCAAAAACCCAGAGGACTCCGTGGGGGAGGAACAGTGGACGATCAGGAGACAAGACAAACACAAGAACCCTCTATCCACTGGCAGCTAGGATCCAGGACATGAACCAAATAAAACTGGACAGACTAACAAAACAAAGCAATGATCTGGCACTGAATGCTCAGGCAGAACTGAATATAAACTAGAGGAAACAGGTGAGGGGAATAAATTATAATGAGGTAGGGAAGGAAGAGGGCAGGTGAGAGGAATTACTAATTAAGGGAGAGCAAACAGGCCAGATCATGACACTGTCGTGTTCCCTAAAACTGACCTTTAATTATTAATACGATACCGAAACTTTAGCCATTCATGCTCCTTTGTACAGGAGAGCCTCTGAGACTTGCACTGCTTCTTCAGAGAGCTAAAAGAACCGTTATATAATCTCAACTTTTTGACAACATTTTCTGACACTAGAAACAACAGCAATGCTCAAACTAACAGGAAGTACAACATATCTATTGCTGACTGAGCCATCAGCATAATGTGCCAAGATCCTAAGGATCTTATGGTCTTAAAAACAGGAAAACAAGTTTTGAACACTTCAACATAAGCTTGAATAAAACCAAAGAACAACAGCATATTGTACAGATTACTTCACAACACTGGGTTTTGTAGATGTTCTTTGTCTTGTTCCTTGTTCAAAATAAGGGCTTCATTTTATGTCTCTGCTCATGAAATGTTTTTCATTCAACAAAAGACTGATCTCTGCATTCACCCTAATGCACCAATACTCTCAGCATCTGGTCACTGCATCATTGACCTATTTTATTACTGGCTGATGAAGGCTCCGCCCCAATATACTCACTTCAGTAAACTGGAACAAAACCCTGCAGTATCCTTTCACTGGTTACACCACCAGCCTCCAGCCAACCCTCCTCCACCTCTTCTGCTAACTCAGATCAACCACTATTAATACTTTCAGGTTTAAAATTGCAAAATCTGTCGACAAAAATATCCTATATTGTTATAAAAATAGGCTAAATAAACACAATAGATATTGTTTTTGTCGGAAATCAACCATATCTATATACACAAATATAACTCATGCTTTTTATGAGCAGAGCAATTTTATGCAGAACACCATTATTAATCAGCTACTGATAAAGTAGTTATTGTGCAAAACAAGTGATAAAGTAAGCTTCTAAATACTTCAAATGTAATCTTAATTACAACAGAGTTAAGGAAAATGTTCACAAGTTGGTTTTTCAAATAAAAAACAAACAAACTCAAACTACAACATAAAAGTCGTTCTTGATAAAACTGCGTTCTGCTTTAAATAGGGGTTTATGGTGAGTAAATATAATGAAAATAGTTAAAAGTTAATTATTTCCAGAGAGTTCAAATGTTAGATTGAAGGGAAGGAACAGACAGGGAGTTTAAAAAGTGCTGCAATGTAGAAAGGTAGTCTTCTGGGTGACATCGCAGATGGGCGGCATGTGTGGACTTTTTCCACTTCCTGCTGTCAACAGACACTCCCCTTCGCCTCCAGAAGTCCATCAGTCTTTCCAGGACAGCAGGGCTACACATTGCATCATTTTCACAGAAGAAGAAGAGTGCTGGGGAAGTAACAGGGCTGTTGTAGAAAACCTGGACACCGTTCTCGTATATGTCTGCAGTCTGGGACTTGAACAGCCTGAAGTAGAGCATGGCGGTAGTTTTGATGAAGCCCTCTAAACGGGGCAACAAAGTCTTGCCAAGTCCTGAAAAACAGATAAATGTACACTGTAGCATAAAATTCAAATAAATTACATTGAAGGATGTGTTGTTTTGTGGTTGAGTATTAAACAGTTAAAGAAATTTTAATGCTTTGTAATGAATCATATATTTATACAGAGGATGTAGAATATAACATTTGCAGAGATGAAAGAGAGCTATGAATAATCTACAGAATGTTCATTTATTTTTGGTCTTTAAAAATACACAGTAAATTGCAGTGCTTTTATATTTTCTTTTGTTTATTTGATCAGGCTAAATTTGTAATAAAGGTGCCTTAAAAATTAAAACAAACTGTTGAGCGGTTTTCTGCCTACTATGAACTGTAAATTAAAAACACCTGATGTGTTTACCTAATGGAGCCTTTCCTGGACTAGACAAAAAAAAGGTTGCATAACTAGTGTCCTAAAACAGGAAATAAATAGGAGATCCTACACCTCTAACAAACTGGAGCACTGGGTCAGGAGTTAATTAATTATAGAAAGTTATGACGCACAAAACACAATAGTAACGTGAGCTCTGATACAATTGTGAAGCATCAGTCTCACTCACCTGTCGCCATGTGATCCAGGGAGCCAACTACTAGACTGTCATAAATGTGTCCTATCACTCTGTGGGCCAGGCCAGCGTGCTGCTTTGGTTGCTGAGTAATGTGGGTGAGCAGCTGGGTGAAAGTGAAACCACCAATGGAAGATGCATGAACCAATATGAGCCTGTCTGTGAAAGGAGGCTCCTCTAAAATATTCAAAATCTCCAACCCATAGTTGAGCCCCCATTGAGGCCACAGGAAGTGCATAACACTGCTCTGGACAAGGAGGACATCCATACCACGGTCGAGGTAGAGGTCCCTGTACTTGGCTACGGCCCCAGGTTGGGCACCGAGCCAGGAGAAGAAGAGGAGAAGAGGGCGAGAATGGGAAGCAGCACCTAAATGCTGCTGGGAGGAAATAGCTGTGTGGGAAAGTGTTTCTGAGGACACTGAAGATGAGATGGGGTGCAGATCTTCTGTGGTCGGAGAGTCTTTGGCAACGTACACCGTCTGGTTCTCAGCTGCAGTCATTGGAGTGTAGTAATACATTACACCATTGCAAATTCTTCTGGCTACAAAGCTCTCTGAGTGGACCGGGTCCAAGGGGGTTGCATCATGCCTGAAAAAACTACATAAAAAAAGAGATTTCAGATTTATAGATCAATTATTCTTGTTGTATAAAAAAATAAAGTTTAGACATCTGAAAACATTGGGTTTTGTAACAAAGCTTAAGATAAAACTAGATATCTGTTTCCATAAAGGTAATCCATGATTTTTTTTTAATAATGTCAACATATTTTAATAGAAGAGAACTGAGATAAATTAACCAGATCCCTTTAATCGCAATTTTGCACAACTTCAGTTCTAAAACCTGTAATATTCCTACTTTGGTTAAAATAAAAACAATACAGCACTAAAATTGGCATTTGTCAAAATCTGTACAAAAAAGAAACAAACACATTTTCAACATCAAATTTCCAGTTGGGTTTTATTATCTAAGTAGAAGGGATCTATTTAAGGAAAAATCATAACTTACAGAGAACAACACTGTAAGATCTGATTGCCTAATGTGTAATGAGTTATTAAACAAGAGTTGTTAAGTAAGGAAACCAAGTGGTGTTAAAAGATAAAGTGCTGCAACAGAAGGCTAATTGTCCACATTGTGTTAATACTGTATGCACTGATAAAAAAAGCACAAATATTTCAACAAACCTAAACCTTTTTTCATTAAACTTTGATATGATTTGAGAATATTTGCAGGTTCATTTTCTGTGCCATTTGCTGAAATAAACATAGAAAACTGCCAGATAAAAACCTGTTCACCTATCAAACTGATCATTTAAGCATCCAAAACCGCTGGGTTTGCTGCAGCCTTTGCAAAGACTACAAGACTTCTTTCTGTAAAGGCCTAAAGCTATAGATTAGGGTGTGATATCTCCAAATTCATTAATTTAAAACATATCCAAATCATATTAAATGGAGGTAGCAGATTTCCACTTATAATGAGGCTACTTATACAGGCCTACTATACTTTAACCAGAGATAACTAAACGCTAAAAAGGAAAGGAAGCATTATTTCCATTTATATCTTTATAATAGAGGCTAAATCTAAGGATAGAGGATACTGGAAGGCATTTCTATAAAATTCCAGCGGGTTTTAGGATAATTTATTAGCAACCTGTCTCCTTTTTCCTGAATATATCAAAGCAGGTTTGTTACCTGGTGGAGAGCGCCAGGTTTCCCATGCTGAGAGATTGAAAACGCGTCCTTGTCTGCTTGGTGGTCAGGAAAATTAGCTCGCATGCCTTGCTCAAAACTGCTGCGGTGCAAGCACTGTGGCAACGGATAGCCGAGGATTTAAATGACAACCGCGTGCCCGTGCCAACTCAACGCGCGCCCCGATAAATAAACCCCCATAAAAAAAATACGTGCGCGCGCGCGCTTTACGCGGTGCTCGCTCCCGTCGCCAGAGCTGGATCAAACAGAAGTGCGCATTGCAATATTTCATACAGCAGGCTGTAACGCAAAATAAATATATATTAGATCAAATAAACTTCTACCAAATACCGAACAGCAAAATAAGCGTATTTCAGGCTTTCAAATTATAGTGTAAATCCTCACACAAAGTACATACAACAAAGTCACGCTGACCGCTTTAGTGGGCTAAATAAAGAAACATTATAAGGTCATATTGTGGACAGTTTATCCTGACCTACTAAACATCTACCTGCAATACTCTTTAGTGCCACATGATGGAGCCATGTAACCTATTTGTCTTTATAAACAGAACATTAGGCAGATAAAATATGAGATGTTTACATTCTAGGTTATTTAAAGATCAAATGTTACACTTAAAAAATTAAAGTTTGAACAAGCAACAAAACAAAAATGAAAACTTCCAAAACAATTTATGATAATATAGTCATATTTTCCTTTTGCATAGTTTCAATCTTTAATGTCAACAGGGTGGTAAATGGTGGATTCAGTTAGATTATGTAACATTACATTGTGAGAATCTTTATTTTAGTTGAGTAATGCGTGACATCAATATAATAAAATGTGTTTATAGGATATGTCATACACATGTCAAAGGTTAAATATCCTCCTGCCTACTGATCCTAGAAACAGTATGTATAGCATTACATAAAACAGCTCACTTTTATGTAAGCCATTTTATAAAACAGTCAAACATAATGAAATAACAACCCTAATATTTTGTTGCTCCCTTTTAATATGTCAAAGCATCCCACACCCAGGATGGGGTTAACTCCACTTGAGCTCTGAAGATGTGTTGGGTATCTGGCAACAAGATATCAGAAAAACATTCATTACTTTCCTGCAAATTATGAGGTGGAGCCAAAAAGTCCCAAAGATGTTGGATTGGACTAAGATCTTGGTCATTTAGAGGGTTTGTAAGCCTTTAAGTGACCCTGATTTTTCCGTTTAAGCCTCCTGAAATATTTTTCTATTTTTGGCAGCTCAATCTTTCCTACTCAACCATCAGGTATGACTAAGCAATCTGGACTCTGAAGATGAAGTCTCACAGTTTAATGTACTGTGTATTATGATACATTTCTATAAGCCTTTAAGGCCTTATGTCAAGTAAAATCAACTTCTTTAAGCTTTCTACTATTTTATAATGCAATCTTCAAGAAACTTGTGCAAAAATTGTTACTTTGATTGACTCATGACAAACGCTCCATAGTTCTTCAGTAAGTCCAATCTGAGTGATTGAGGGACAAACAATAAAAAAAAGGTTTTGGAGTAGCGATCTTAAATTGCAGATGTAGATACTGTATTATTGAGATAAAGTAAGGAAACCTACAAGTTCATGCTTTAAGCTCTTCAGTAAGGCAGAATTTAAACAATTTTGCAAAGAGGCTAAATAGTATTAACAGCTATCTAATATACTCATTGGTATTTATCTGAAAAGCTTGATTATGGGTTTTGCAACCAAAAGTTTAAACTTGTTACTCGGTTTAAGGTTTGTTACTGTTTAACACAAAATCATTATATGGAACTGTATTAGTAGTAGTAGTATTTCTGCTTATTATTATAATATACAAATGTAAGCAATTATCTGAATCTAAGCTTGTTAAAATGCAATTGCAAATAAATACTTTTTCAACAGAGAAGTGATATGAGGCAGAGCATGATAATTATGGCTTAAAATTAAGACAAACTAGCTCTTTCAGCAGCTAATCTGCAGAGGGCAGCAACCTCTCTGTTTAGCTAATGGCTAAGTTGCTTTGCTTTGAAGGAAAGCGTTTTTTCTGTGGGATTGTAAGAAAACAACTACATTCCACAAAAAGTTAATACTCATGTAGTTCTAAAGGCATTATTTAAACATATATATTTACCTATGAGTGACTTTGAAAGGCTTTAAGAAAAAGCATAACATCGGACCTTTAACATCTTTAGCGATTTAATTGCAGTGAGTCATTGCTTCAAGCCATTGCAACCAACCTCTATCCTTACAACCCTCCTTTGGACATAACCTGTGCTTGACAACTTAATCATATACATTTGAAATTCTTGAGATGCTCTGACCCATTTCTCTCAGTAACAAGTTAGTTTAACAAATTTCAAATAATTAATTGCATTCTTCTTACACATAAATTTTGATAACTAAATATTTACTTGATCACAAATATATCTAAGTTAAGTGATCAAACATTAGGCATACTGGCTAAACATTGGACTGGGGAGAGTTTCAGGATAAAAACATTATCCGAAAAAAAAAAAAAATGCATGCCTTTGCCAACAAATATGTTTCTAATATTTTTTAGGTTTAAGTATGGCTACTATTTCAACACAAAATAATTATCTAAAAACGGCATTTAATATTTCTTCTCATCCTTGTGAATTATTCATATATATCTGAAATGTAAGCTTGAGTAAAGAGCAAACTAAATACTGTCAGGTAACTATATTTTTTTGGCCAGCTGGAAAAGTTTTTTCAAAGCTCATTTAGACAACATTTGGACACAGCCAGACGGAAAGATTTCTCAACCCCATGAAAACATTCACTTGCCTTTTCTAGGCCATGTTTCTGTACTACTTTTACATCAGCAACCCCTCCCTCTGCTTTATGCCTCTGAATCCCATCTTACATCATTCTTTTAAATAGCCCTCAACCCTCATCCCTGCCAATTTTCTACACACACACCCAACCCCCTCAAAACTCACCATCTAAAGAAAAGAAACAGTGAGGACCACTTCTCCATTTGCTGCCATAGCACCCCATGGCCTTTCCTTTTCGTATTGTTTCAACATGGCCTATATTATCCAAGCAGAAAAAGAAGGTTGGGAGGGATGTGAATGCATAGAAGCAAGAGGGGGAAGAGAGGGGGAAAACTGCCCTCTCCTTTCTATAATGCAGACGGGGTGTGGAAATTCCACTGCAGCTTCCTGCTTTTTCTCCTACTTTTCCTTTATTACTTTCCCCTAGTATCATGTGAACTCCAGACGTTTCATGAGAACAGTGAAATCATAACAAGTTGCAAAGCTCTGCATCACTGAAAGACTTCAGTTACAAGCATGTTTTTGAGGTTAGTCAAAGGAATGTGAACAGCAGATTTGGTAGAGAAAATGTAACCAGTTTCTTTTTTTATCAAGACATGTCATTTCAAACACATATTAAACCAGTTACTAGAATTTCCTTTTCTAGGTCTGGTATATTGCAAAAATCTTAAATATCCTGTCCAATGGTGATGCTGAGAAACTAGTCAATGCATTTGTTACTTCAAGACTGGACTATTGTAATTCTTTAATTCAATTCAATTCAGTTTATTTATATAGCGGCAATTCACAACACAAGTCATCTCAAGGCACTTTACAGTTCAACCAGATCATACAGTCAAATTGATTCAAAGTTTTCTATCTAAGGAAAACCAGTTGATTGCATTGACTCATTGACTCAAATACAATCCCTCACACTAAGCATGCTTGTAGCGACAGTGGAGAGGAAAAACTCCCTTTTAACAGGAAGAAACCTCCAGCAGAACCAGGAAGACTTACTATCAGGAAGTCCACAAACTGTAGTTAAACGACTTCAGCTGATCCAAAATGCTGCAGCCAGAGTTCTGATCAAAATTAAAAGTAGAGATCATATTTCTCCTATCCTAGCTTCTCTTCATTGGCTTCCTGTTATATCAGAGACCTGATTGTTCCTTATATCCCTAACAGAGTACTTTTGTTAGGGATATGTAGGCTTTATTTCGCTTTCAGAGGCGAGCAGACTCCGACATACGGCGGTGCTCTGGGAACCCAGCAGCAGCTTCCTCAGGCCCGATCGCCTTTTGGGGGTTTTCCGCTACTGTTCGTAGCGGCTGGAATTAAATGTTAGCGTTTTTGCAGGTATGTGGTACAAACTGCAAGCAACAGAATTATAAAAGCGAATATATTTTGTCTGCAGGTTTCGACACTTTAAGTTAATTTATGCATTGACAGTTTCAATGGAGTGATCGTAATCTGCATCAGCAGCACTGTCTGTCTCCCTACCAGCTTCTCTGATTGGGTGACATTTCCAACTCCAGCATCAGAAGTTTGTGAAATATTGATCATTTAAGCAAATATTTCCTGGGGAAAATTTGTGCGTTCCAAGGGTGTACATACCAAAAACAGGGCTTACAACCTGTAATTTTTTTTAGCAAAGGTCATACACCTATACGCATGGCTAGATAAAAGCCTGTTTATAACGTATTTTCATAATTTATGTTGATTTCTATATTTCCTCAACCTTTTATCTTAAACCTTTGTGTTTTAAATAAATTCTTATTTTTATAAATTACAGTTTACTTTCAAACACAATTCAAAGACATTAAGTTTTTGTTGATAATGTGTAACACTTCAAAGGCAGAGGCTTGTTGTATTTGAATATCACTTGATTACAAATAAAACTGACTTCCCATTGCGAAGTGACATAATAAACCTTATTGAAAAAATTATTTCAAGTTTTTACACAGTTTTTAAAAGTCCCTTTCATTGAGGAAAAAACAGTTAATTGATATCTAGCTTTGGGAGCAGAATAAAGTTCTATAGCAATATATACACAAAAATATAATTTTTAGTGCAGTAAGCATAAACTTAAAACATTATTTGATCTTTATAATTTATTTATAAAAGGAACAAATTGTACTCAAGACAGGGTCTCTATACAAGGCAGAGCCAAAAAGCTATTGTTGGTGCCCATTGTTGTCTCCATTTTTTTTTTTTTTTAGAGAAACTCTCTTTGACCTCACAGTCACCCATTGTCCTGGACTTTCCGTCAGCTGAGGCCAGCGGCCTGTTCAAGGAGAGAGGACAGTCACACAAATACAACACACTGAATACTTGCTGTCCTAAAGACGCCAACAAGAAAAATATCGAAGAACAAAGCTATTAGCCATATGAGAAGGCGGTGATAGGGATAACATTTAACTGGGTGAGAGGGCGGGTGCACCTTGAGTTGTCACTTAATTTCATACCAATAAAGACACAAATGGCAAACAACAAAGAAGACAGAAAGTCATATCTAAGGGCAGTTTGGAGTAAAAAAGGGTGAAGTACTTATTTAAAAAAAATCACACAAATGCAATGAGAGATCATATTGTGAGAACCTCCCAATTTAATACGGAAGGACCTAAGGACTGGATTATCATCTCTGCCAGTGTTAACAGCCGCTTTCAGTGCAGTCCTTTTCATCAACTAGTGAATAAAGTATTTTACAAACTAATATATAAAAAGTTGTCAAAAGTTTTAACTAAATCAAATAACAAGTACATGAGGATGCAGTACTATGACTGAATTTAAATATTCTTTCATATAAATGTTTGTAACCAAAGAAAAAAATAGCAAGCTAAACATTTCAACTATTCATAATATTGAAAAAATAAAAATGCAGACTGAAATAGATGCACCACTGTTATATCAAAGCTTTCCTTTGGTGCAGTTTATAGCTTATTTATATCCGTCTTAAACTCAGCCCCACCTGTGTCACCAACCCTGTGAAGCGAAGCTTGAAATCTCAGCAAATGGTGTTTAAAAAATGTATAGCATCCTGTCTTGCTTGCTTGTTACCTGCTTTGCTTAAAATAAAAACAACAAAAGAAAAGAATCCCTTATAACAACATATGGGCTGTCTTACTCTCAGACATCAGAATGATGTGATTTAATTATTTGATAAAGCAGTTTAATATATCTGATGAAATATGTTCATAAGGTGCAAATCATTTTTCAATACAATCGTGCTAAAACAAAGCGGATAAGAACAGAAAGGAGAGTCAAGGTGAACCATGCTATCAGTACAATCTCCCCTGAGCTGGTGGGGCCAAGTAAGTCTGTAAGGAGGCTTCAGCAGTGCTGGGAGCGCTCTGGCACTGTTCAGGAAATTATGCTTCCTTACTTCACTGATTGTTTCTATATTTGAAATTCCTGGGTACCATTCACCCACAGATGTTAAGACTATTTTGCTAAAGAGTTTACAGAGTAACATTGTCATTAGAGACAATGCCTCAAACAGTTTAAATTTAGCTGCTTCTTGCATGCTATGTACTTTCTTGATAAATATATTTTATTTATCAAATAATCAAATTTTACATTTAAATAAATTAACAAATGAATAATATTCTGGCATAAAAAGAAAAAAGCTAAATACTAATATTCTTAACCAAATGTATAAAAAGAAAAAAAGGCATAATTTATGGAGATGTCTAATGTGTTCCACAAGAACCACTCCTTGGACCACTGTTATTCAATCTAATGATTTATAATCTGCGTGTTCTAATTATGACATTGTGGTGTATGCAGACAGACCTTTATTAGTAATTACCACAATGCTGAAGGTTTAGCACTGTGGTTAAGTGAAAAATGTTTCTAAAAAAGTCAGTATGGTTTTCTATTAACTGTACAGAAAACAATATAAAGAAAGTAGCTTTTAACTACAGGTTCTTGGAGTTATATTTGACATTACACATTTATTTGAAACTGGGGGGTGTTGTATGTTGGTAAAAGGATACAATTTTATTTCAAAATCTGCTTTACAGACTTAATCAGTGTATGTGTCAATATAAGAAATACCTATTAAAAATTCTTTAAGGTTTTTATTGTGTGTGTATTTCTGAGATGGAAAGCAAGAGGCCTATTATTCTTCTATTCACAAATGCTTAAGCCTTTAAAACAATGTAGATAAACTTTTTTTTCTATTCTTTTTTTTTATTTCTGATGAGTCAGCTCCTCACATACATTGTGCTAAATCAGTAGTATGTGCTGTTGGATATACATTTAGAAAAAAATAAACAGCAGCCTGCAAAGGTCAGCAGTTGTGAGGCTGACAGTGAGTGGTGCATGAATTTGTAGGCTTTGCATTCCAGTTTCAGAAAAGCTTGCCTGCAAAAGCCAATGTTGTCCTAACTGCGTGCTATGGTGTCCATGGTGGTGGGTGATCTTTGATAATGAACAATTTGCTCAGTGAGGTGTGACCGCAGGCATTATGATGGGAGCCGTGCAGTGAGTGAGAGAGATAGACCAACAGGGGGAGCATGAGAGAGAGAGAGGAGAGAGCAAGTGGGAGGGAGGGAGACGGGAACAGTATTCCACACAGTCAAACCCACAGAGGCTCACAAGACTGTCTCGCCTGCAGCACACACACTCTCTCTTTCTATTACATTCCTGGCTGTGGATTCTCCATCTTCCTACGTACATCTGCAGGTAAGCAGCTGACATTTTCTTTTGAAATGACTGTTTCCAGTCATGGATTTTGTAGGCTTGCTTGGAAAGAAATAAAATGCATGAAGTTGAATCATACTAAAGCCTGTAGATGATGACACTTAGGAAGAAAACATAGCAGCAATGATACTGCAGGTAAATAGTCTGACATATTCAAACTCACCATATTTCCTCAAATATGTAAGACATTCATCAGTGTGTTGACATCTAAATTAGAAGGAGTAAGGTGTTTCTGTTAGCTATCGATCAAGGTCTATGAGTGTATTTTACAAAGTGACATTTCTATAAAATCATGGTAACATCTGTCATTTGCATGTATATCAATACTTATATATCCATAACTGCTCATGCCGTTTTTAGTTAAGGATACAGGGAATGTTTACAAGCATGAGCATCCTTTTTTATGTCAGGGGAGCAGGAAACAATCTCTCTAAGATTACTTACATGAAAAATTGGCTATTTAAATTTGAAAGCATATCCTACACTTCTTTAAATGGACAAGAGGAAGGCAAATAGATCTAAAATCTGTGGGATTAGCGCAACATCTCTGGTTTGAGCTGTCGCCATGGCAAAGGCAGCCAGTAGATTGCCTGTGCTAGAGACCATCCTCCAAAGTAAGCATGTTCATTGCATTGAGCAGAGCTTTGATTAAAATAAGCAGCTAACCAAACAAAATGTTAAGCTATATTTTATATTCCATTTTAAAGTGCTGCAATAGAATATATATTAAAATCAGCATAAAATAAAAAAACACCTAGTTCTGAATGGCACTCTGTTGGTGCTTTTGGTGCTGAACCTACAAAATCACATGCCAAAGATTATAAAAGCAAGGAATTAAACATGTTTGTAAATAGAGGGAGTCAGGATGTGGTCTGGTTGTAAAGCTAGTGGAGTTAACTCACCTGCTGCAGTCCAACTTTAAAGCAGCCCTTTTAGAAACAACAGTGTCTTATTTTTCAACTATTTACCAAACAGCCGCTTGCATTAGCATCAATAATGTCCATGGACTATTGACTGCAGCTGGTTGCATAATTGAATCTGTGGGTCTGCTGCAGCTCATGAGTTGATTATCCGCCCTCTGATGTGGAAGATTGTTGAAAATGATTATAACTAGAGCTTGATCAAGACTGGATTAGTCAGCTGAAGGCTACATATTAGATTCTTTGCACAGTTGCACTGAAAATGTTAACTAGATTACAAAACAATTTATAGTTCATACATACATAGTATCTGTGCACATAAATAAATATTTATATCCTGTATAGCACCTCTGGACAGATGCAAACTACATTTTGTTGCCTTATACTTCTAGTAGTGTAATGACAAAGTTGAATTCTATCCTATTTGGTTTTATTCTTAAATGTTCCGGTTTACTTACTTTTAGATGTTGTAAACATGGGAATTGCAACTGTATTATTGCAATCCATCAAAGTTATTAAAATAACAATAATAAAACTGCTAATAATACTTATTCTTAATATTAGTACTTTCAATAGTATTACTATTATCATTATCAATATTATTGTCAAATGGACGTTATTTTTTTTTTTTGCTAAAGTTACCAGCATAACTAGGTAAGACATATTCTATTAACAGAGCCAGTGCAATATCTGCACTCAAAAAACATAATATCATGCTTTCCATTATGCAAAATTTTCTTTTATTAAGTTAGTTCAACATTATAAGAATGCCGCAAGAATTCCTTAGTCCTGATAAGGCAAAAATCTTTTAAAATGTTACCTGCTGTAGATAGTTATGCCCCATTTACACTACCCCTCTGAATGTTAGGATCAGTTAACCTGGCCGAGCTTGATTCTTATGACCATTTGCACATCACGCTAGCACTGTTTCTGGCCTCCTATCAGCAGTCCATGATACTACCGCTCTCAAGGCGGAAATCACACGAACAAACATGGCGGCACCATAACATTCAGGAAATTATGTTTATGATATTTTGTCATTTGCGGAATGTCAGACAAAGAATGCATCCCTCTCAGTCTCGGCATCACCCCAAGTTTGCACCAAACATTTTGCTGCCATTTATTGTTAATAAGCTGAGAAGAAGTCTGTGTTTTGAACAGGTGAAGAGATCTGTGAATTGCACGGACGGACACACCGGAAAACCTGCAAAATCAGTCAGCTGACTGTAAGAAGGAGATGACGAGGTCTGCTCATGTGCTCTTTGTCATCCGAGATACAACTGAACCGTGCCGAGCCCTAAGGTTGAACTACTACAAAATTTTGGGTTTTGTCTGGCACGGTCCAGTTCAGTTGGGTTCCATTTTCCCTATCTCAGTTACTGTCCTGGGACTGTTCTTGGCATGGTCTGAAAAGGCTAATTAAAAAGGGGTATTAGCCTGCCAATCTTCATTTAGCCTGAATCCAGTTTAGCAGGTGCTAAAGCTTCTCTTTCCACCTCTTCCTGTGGTAATAAGAGTCAGATTCTGTTTGAATAGCTGACCAGTGCATTTGTTGTAGGTCAATGTGTGGTCTGTTTCAAGAAACCATGAAGGCATTTGTTTTAATCAAGTTGTTTTAACATGGATTTCACTTTTGGTTTAAGACCCTAGCTTCAGCCTCATGACCAGATTATCTGTATTTATACTGAATACCATTTCAAAGTGAGCTATCTATTGTAGGTAAGACATTATGAACTTTTACTGTAAGTGGTTGTGTTTAAAATATAAAAAGTGACAATTATCATTTGACATGTTTTAACCAACAGAGTTTGTATTAAGTGCGTGGTGTATTTTGTATCCAGTTTTACAATTAAAGGCTAAAAGCAATCTACTGAATGTCTACTGAAAGAAAATGTAGGTATTCTGCCAGCCAACAAGTGCAGGGCCCCTTAAGGATTTTGCTCGTGCTATAGATTAGGTAGGTTCCAATTTGCCTACAGCCAAGATCCTATATAAGAAGCTTTTTAACCAGGCTAACTACAGGAGGTATTTGCTAGAATAGTGTAGTTTCACTGTAGAGCTTATCCGGGTCATAAATGGGTGTTAACAAAATCAGTTGATATTAAGGAACATGTCTTAATTGGGCCATCCTTTGTCACTCAAAGTTGCCCTATACATGAAATAAACATACAGCCCCATCAAGATAGTTTTTCTGGAGATTCTACCTCAGCATTGTTCCCATATGTTGACATTAGCAGGAATGAAACCTTAATAAACAATATCTACCAGGTTGCTCAACATAATGTTTTGTTTGATCTAGGCCCAAAAAACATAAATTAATTAATTACAGATACACTTTAAGCTGTAGAACATACTGAACTAAGACTAATAATAAAAGAACAATGGAGTATTGCACAAGGGTCTACATACTTGGGTACAATACGCTGGTAGGAAGGGATATAATGGCAATACTTTGGAATAAAATGGGATTACAAATCATTATGAAAAAGGAGATTTTTATATTTTTAAGCAGGACTGCTTAAAATGAATCAAGAATGAGGATTCAGATTTTATTGGAATGATTGAAATCATATGATATAGGAAAGTTTGACACAGCTGAAATTATATTTTCCTCCATATAAAGGGGTTGTGGCCAGAAGTTTGCAGCAAAGTCTTGTCTAACTGGCTTGTCAATAAAACCCCTGCCATGATTTTCTATGCTGCCATGCCATGGCAACAAAAGTAGAAAATTATTAAACTTTTTTTGTGTGATGTAGAAAGCTGGTGTGTGAATGTCTATTCGTACGAGCTGGAAATTTCTCATACAAGAACTTTGCTGGTCACTTGGCTGGAAAGAGAAGCGAATTGTACCACTTTGCAGGATAAAAACTAACCTTTTGTAAATGGTGGCTAAGTTCATCTAAATGTTCTTCTAAGCGAATGCTTTACTCAGTGGGAAGCAAAATGGTTAATTCTAAACTACACAGCTTATATGTGGTGTCACATCTAATCAATGCCATGGTAATGTCTGAGTAATGAATAGGGCATTGTTTACAGTAACCTTAACCAACAAGTTTACAATCAAGTAGTGCAAGGTCATATATGTATTTTTCATAATAAGTTGGGTAAAGACATTTTGAAAATGTTCAGGTTGTATATTTTACTTAAAGGCTTTTTAAACCATTTATGTCACAAACAATTATTTAACACTCAAATAAAACTCTTCCGTTATACCACTGAACCTAAAATACCTCCCTGTTGGTTAAAGAGGCATCGACATCAAACAATTGCAAAGGTGGTGTCTGGAAAAGGCCAACATATGAAAGGCGAAGTTAAAGAGCTTTCCTTAAGAATATAGAAGACCATGAGAGAAAAAACACATGTGGTCACATGCAAGAGCACTTACATATAGCAGTGGAAATAATACTAGAGGGAAAAGTCCTGCTTGTAAATATGCACACCCACACAAGCAGGGAAAAAAGGACAACTATCACCCACAGCATGTAGCCATTTGCAGGAAGGTGAAAAACTCCATTATGACAAACTGAACTGAAACTGAGACCAGACTATGCTTATTGCAGGTTATTAAAAAGTAATGACATTGGCAACTGTCGGTTTATCTCAATTTGTGGCTCCCCTCAATGTTGACTGTAACCTTTTAGCAAATCAGCAAAGAAAAACAGCTCTAATTTAAACAACGTTTCTCCATTTCTCCTCATGTTCTAAAACATTTTTAACGAAGTTCTTTAATATATTTTTTTACCCTTTTAAATATGTGCAACCACAACAACAATAGTGTAATCCAAGAAAAGCTTGCAGAGGTCAAACCTAATGTCGCATCAGAACAAAAGGAAATTTCCATGGAGAGGTAGGCTACAGTTTGTTGAAGGGAGATTGAGATCAAGATGGCTGCTTGTGCCCAGAAAGTGAATCAAGTGAGGGCTTCTTGTAAACACACAGAGACATTTTGGAAATATAAGCATGACGGAGACAGCTGCAGAGTTTCTCTCCTGCACTGATAAGGCCACAGTAGAATGATAACATGGTGGATTTGGGCTTTTGTTTCTCCCCTGCTGCCCCTAATTGTTTGTTCTGTGCACCTCTGCTTCACTGGATGCTGTACAGTATGAGATCCAGCTTTCCATCTAAGGCGATATCTCAAAAATGATTACAAAATAACAGAAAACAGCTGTTAATTTCCTGACACTTATTATATTTTTTCTTAGTTAACTCTGCTGCCTGTCAGCCTGTGACTTAACAAGCCATGAGTCAGATCTGGTGAGTGATTACTGAAAAAAAAAGAAAAAGCGGTTAGAAAGTAGCTAATATGGAAGCTAAATTGACTTGCTTTTTCACAACTCCTGAAATTATCGATGAAGCATCTATGTGATCATTTTTTGACAGCTAATACCGCAGTTTATTATCATTAGGTTACACTGCAATTCTTCGTTTACCCAAAACCAATTATCATTGTGGCTTAATTAAAGTGTAATGAATTATTGCATGACCATTCATTTGATTTCTTGTAAAGTTTAGGAGCAGTTTATAGGCACACTGCTATACTTTAGCACAGCATCCATGCTTCTCTGGTATATTCAGTCCTTGTATAAACATAAATGTATATCATATCTAAAAGAAAATGATTGATACCAGTGTAAGCAGGACCCTGCCAGTGCTGCTTCTTGTCATTGTCATTGACAATGTCATTGTCTCAGCCTCGATTATTGCAGATGTTGTTTTCAGTATATTTAAGCCACTACTTTCCCCATGCAATGGAATGGATCGAAGCAGAGTCTGCTACAGGAAAGAGTCAGTTACTCAAAGTGTGAATCTTGTTTTCAACCAGAAAAAGGTAGATTGCACCTTACAGATTGGGAGTCAGTCTCTGGTTAAATAGGAGTAAACAGCTGAGTGTAAAGCATTTCAGGTGTCATGGTGTCTTGTTCATGGGGGATGGTGGGTCGGAAAGGAATATATGTAGAAAGATGCTTCAGTCAGCTGTGGGAAAGAAACAGCGAAGCCATGAGTAAAGCTTTGGTTTCACCAGTCCATCTAATTTTAGACTGACACCTGGTAATGAGATACAGATCATGACTAAAAGAAGGAGATCCTGGATATAAGTGACTGAAAGTAGCTTATCTCCATAGGAAGGCAGAGCTTAGTCTAAGAGAAGGTGAGAAGCTCAATAATCTGAATGAAACTTGTAAATGAGCCAGAGAAAGCAGTTAACCACCAAGAAGCTCCAAGGGTATCTTCCATTGGAGGTGTTATTGGCCTGTCTTTGTTGTTATTGGAAGGAGAACCTAGAGCAGACCAAGGAGGAGTTTGAGGACAAATTGGTCCCATCTTGTCTATGAAGGCTTTGGAAACGATCAGAATGATGGTTTTCTTGTTGAGGGATTTCACGTAACCAATCCTTCAACAAGAAAGAGATTAGAAAAAATTATTTTTTGTCTTTTTAAGCAGAGCTTTTATTTCATATTCTTGCACTCTCTTATAGTTTTATAAAAAAACTTCAATATAGGACAATTCACCCAGGTAAACAGCCTATCAGCCACAAAGGAACTGTGACTGATAGGCTGTTGATGTACAACATTTATTACATCAAACTAAAGTGTTAAAACACCTTTCACCTTCAAACAAGTGTGTGCATGAATAATTACTTTCTTTACTAAATTATTTGACTCCACAAAACTTTTTAAAGGCTTTGTGTTTAGGTAAAAATAAAGCCACTATACACTCCTCTACAATATATGTGGACATCTTTGGAATCTGGCATATATTTAATAACTGTGTACTTTTATTTACCATAAATGCAACAATTACAAATAAATTCAATGTGGATATGACAAAACATAAACCTGGATTGTCAAAACTAAGGAATCCACAAGGCCCAAAGTAAACAATTGGCAAAATGCTCCTAAAATTAAAGCTATGAGGAAATGCGCTATGTAGAGTAATTCAGAAGAATGATACATCAACAGCAAAAGATCAGGTACATGTATGCAGGACATCTCACTATGGTAAAAGGGTTGGTGCTAAGGATATCAGCTTAGGTAAACTAACAAAGTAAAATATATGTATGTTAATTGAATAAGTGCTTCTGCTCCTTTTTCTGAGACAACTTTAAGCTTTAGTATCAAATACTCATCCAGAGTTACTATGAGTTATGAATGTGAAAAAAAAACAACTTTACAAGGCAATAAGAAAAAAAACACTAATAATCACACCTGAGCGGATGGGATGGTGATGAAATTGGTCTTTTGCATCTTGTATTTCTAAAACAAATGATTAGCACCTGTTTAATCTGTTGAAATAGCACAGTACAGTTTAAAAAAAACAGCAACATTTTATTGCTTCAGAAAATAAACTGGTTTTGCTTTTTGTTGTCTTAAACGTCACAAGGATGTTGAAATATAAAGTAATCTCAAAGCTAAACTGGAAACACCACTTACCCAACACACTGTAATTAAATAAAACTTAATCTCAGTTGTGAAGCAATTATATTTTTCCACTGTCCATTCTTTCTTTGCCTTTAGATGATGAAGGAAAGTGATACTGCAGTGAAATGTGAGTACGTTAGTCTAGCTAAATTATACATAGCCTCTGCTGTTTTAATAATGAATATTATTAGGGTCAAAACAAAACAGAGAACCTACGGATAAAATAGAATTTATTTTAATACTCTATTCCTTTTTGTTGTCATGCATATTTCCAAAGGAAACTGTTTGCAAAATCTCTCCAAGACACCAGAAGGAAGAGCATGTGTGGGTGTTTGCAACTTCTACATAACACTACATGTGGGCAAAGGAGTACATGGTGTGTTAACATTGAGAAAAAAAGTCAGAGTTCAGACATGCAGAGATATGACTACAGATATATTCTATGCAGGTTCTTCACTGCAAGCTTGAACGGAGTGCTACCAAAAATAAGCATTGCCCCTATGGAAACTGGTTTTAATGCTGCTCAATCAATGTGACAAAAATAGTGTGTGTAGGAGGCTCTATGTTTAACCCTTTGTTAGCGAAACCTTAGACTTTTAAGAGTGTGTGTGCTTCATATCAGGGTCTATATACAGAAGAGGGAATGACTGGTTAAACATGGACACTTCTGACAACTTAGACTTTTATAAGTTGTAGCTGAAATAATAAATATACAATTAAGACAGTTGGAAAACAAGAAATGAATGAGGAAAAAAAATTGCTGTAAACCAAAAAGTGTCAATGTTGCTGAGCCTAAAGGATTTAGAAAATGGAGTGGGAGAATTTAAGAAAAAAAAAAGGGAGAGCTTCAGTATACTAGCAAGTTTCTGTGATTATTGATGTTTTTTTTTACTCCCACATATTTTTGTCTGCTTGAAAGTACAAATAAATCTGAGATTTAAAGACAACAAGGCCAAAGGCTGGGGATGTTCATCAGAGGAAGTTAAGTACTGCTGAAGCGCACAGGTTGTTGTTTTCGAAGGGGAAATTCCTTTGGTGCTCCAATCTTTTCACTGAGGCAACAGACTGGTGACTTTGAACCATCTAACACTTTACAAAAGAATAGGAGGTCCCGCGATTCCTAAACTGAAAGCCGGACTCCAATTATTCACTGCCCTCCTCCCAGCCAAACTCACAGAAAAAAATCTAGATGACTGCTTCTTGGAAACATATGAATATATAAAGTTCAATCCTTGTATAAAACTGAATGAAATTGCTAATCGCAACATATGGTTGGACAGATTACAGAAAACTGGCTGTGATTTTTCTGGGACTGTGCTAAATTACTTGAACTCTTACTACCTAATGTTACTTGTTTAATATAAGTCATGGCCCAAGAAGACCACATGTGAGGTTCCTCCAGGCTACATTCTCTGTACTTTTTTTCTTCTTCAGTAAATATATATATTGCCTGTGGCTGAGATTATGGAATATTGTAACATCTTTTTTTTAAAACACAACTTTATATAGCTATCAGTAATCAGCCACTGTAACTTACAGTTACCTTAATATGAAGGAGTGGATGGTTCTAAACTTTCACCATTTTTACAATGAAAAGACTACTTGTATTATACACTACTTATACTGAAATCCTGGTATTTAATTTTAAAATTTTGGTTTATTTTCCAACCCTTAGCTAATCCCATAGAAAATAAAAAAAAAAAAAAGAAAGAAAACCAAGCATCATTAAAAAGCCAGACCTTGAATTTTGAATAAAAACCATCTAAAGCCTATTAAAGTCTGCTCACAACTGTCCTAACATTGTTGAATAGAGTGTTTCCTGGTAAACCAAGACATAAAACCACTGCATTATTTGAATTTCAACAAGTAACATTATTGTAAAATGGCTATATCTAAGATATCAGAGAAAACAAATCTAAGAAAATCAATGTGGGTATAAGCAATCCACAACGCCACTGCCAGAGTCCTGATCAACACCAGAAAATTCAGTAATTTCATGTCAGTCATTAGATCTCAGGCAGTGATTGACTTTACAATACCATGGTCGCTGAAGAACTGACGGGTCTTGATTTGTAATTTGTTCCTTTCAATTCACAACATTATTTCCTCCAACAATTCTTTAAGCTTGAAGGATTGTTTAATTGGTTTATATTAATCATTGCTTACTTTAAAATTAGCCATGCTTAGAATATGCCTTTACTTTTGTTATTTTATTTGCAAAGAACTTTGAATAATCTTATGAAAATGATATATGCTTATAGGCCAAAATAAAAACAAACTTGCAACATCAGGGAGTCTTTTTGTGAAAAAGTATCTAACTACCCTCTTCATCTTGTGGTTGTATTAAATTGTATTATTTCTAGACTTGTTTTTGTTTCTTAAGTAGGTTACTAAGTAAAGCTCCTTTGTAAGTATGTTCATTGAAAAGATAGATGAACAGTTGCCTCTTTCAGCTCGAGCCAACCCAAATGCAGCAGAAGAAAAGTGTGTCACCAAGTGTCCTGTGTGTTCTTGTCTTCTAGGCCATTGGTAGAAGCCAGCCCTATCTGCCTCAGGGGTCAGAAGAATAGAGAACAACATGTGACAATCAGTGCTCCACAGTCGACAGGATGCTTCGATTTCCTCAGACCTTGGCTCTCTTTTTTTGGTATTACTTGTTACTTCACAATCGAGCTTTGGCTGATGAAAAGTCCACTGGAGAGGAGAAATCTAGCATTTACTCGTGGTTTCCATCCATACCCAAGCTCCCATCCATACCCAAGCTCCCATCCCTACCCAAGCTCCCATCCCTACCCTCATTTGGCCTTTTTGGAAGCTCAAATGGCATAAATGAAGATGCTGTCTCAACAACAACTGCCAAAGGGATGAGGGAACTAACAAGTCTTTTTCAAGACCAAGCTGCATCGGGAGAAGAGAGCAATTTTGAGCAATCCCAAGAAATCACAACATTGACTCAAAGCCTCTTTATGAGTGTGACAGAGATAAGAACTGAACCACTTCCCACTAGGACATCAGATTTGCCACACAGAGGCACAGCTCAGAGAATAAGTGAAGCTATTGTTTCTCCCACAAACAGTTTTATCATAAACACACTGTTCACCAAGAGTCCACACAGAACTAACCCTTCAGTACAGAACAAAACACATAATCTAACATCATGGAGATCTACCACAATTGGAAATCCTAGTAAAGATGACCCTGAAAATCCACTTTCAGATGACGTAAAAGTAGATCAGGAAGTTTACTTTACAAAAAGCATTCCTTCAACAGTCCCACCAGAAACTACAGTTCCTACAGCCCTGACATGGAACACAGTCCAAACCACAACACCCAACCCCGGACTAGTGGAGACTGCTCAGACCAGCACACACCCTCAGAGGCATATTACACTTCCTACCGTTTCAAGAACGAATGTTGTTGCAAAAAAAGAACATTTAGCTGTTAGTGTCGCCCTACACTCATTAGAGGGAACATCTGAAATTTACCCCACAAAGGGTCACTCAAACATAGGCATTTCTGAGAGGAGTCTGGTCAATACTGAGCAGCAGCCAGTGGTCTTTTCTTCCATGCCAAGGATGGATCCGGCTGTGGCACAAGTCACGACAGAAATTCACCCCACTCAAAACTCTTTAGAAATGGATTTCTCAGGCACCAGTATGGTGACTGCTGGACAAATGTCAGAAGTATTCCCTGCTGCTCTCAGGACTGATCATAACTTAGTAGTTCAGGACACAACATCAGAAATGTATCCAACAAAAGGCCTTTTAGAATTGGAATTTTCTGATAACATTATCCAGAGTTCCCAACAACAGCCAAGAGTATTGCCTACCATATCAAGGATTGATCATAACTTGGAAAAGGACGAGAAAACACCAGGCATATACTACACACAACGCCATTTAGACTTGGACTTCTCCGAGACCAGTACAGTAAATGCTAAACAAGGTCCAGGACTCTTTTCTTCCACCGTTAGGAGGAATCCTAATTTAGACGTGGAGAGCACAACACAGGAAATCCAGACTACCCAGAGCCATTTCGACTTGGGCTCTTCTGAGAGGACAACAAAGAATGCTGCACAACCTGGAATATTCTCTACCACCCTCTTGATTGATCAGAATTTTGCTGTGGAGTCGATACCAAGCACAACTCAAAGCTATGGGACTAACTTTCCAATTCCACAGGGTAAGCAGACTTCAGCAAATCTATGGAGGAAATTGAGTAAATGAATGTAATCAATCATGTGCATGCAGATCTTTAGGGTTCAATTTGGTCAATATCATCTCTGTCATGGGTCCTGAGAGTTACAAAAAAACTAAATTCTTTGAAATTGCTGCTGGTAAAAGCATAGCTTAAAAGAAATTTAAAGAACAAATAGAAAAACAGTAAGTAAAACCTAGCCAACCCAAGCAAATCTGCTTCTTGATCAGGCTTGGCAATGTAAGGGCAATATTTTAAGTGCTGCTGAGGGTTTTTCACTCACTTCATCCCTCTCTGACTCTTAGGCATTAGCTTTTAATAGTTGCTATGTCACAGTTTGCTTCAATCTGCTTGTCTTAATATTAAATCAAGGTTAAGTAAAATTATACAAAAATAGCCTGTTTACCTTTTTATAGATATACTTTTCCAAAACACTAAATATAAACTGATAAGTATCTCCAGATGTAATTTGTGAAGATAACATTGCATTGTTAAGGGAGTTATACCCATTAGTACCCGTAAAAAAATGCTGGATATAATATACATATATACACACAAAGTAAAATTAGAAATGTCTGATAAATTAGCATTTTAAATTTAAATAGTAAAGTTTAATAAAAGTACAGGTACAAAAGAAAAATACATTTTGTGATAAAGCATAATTTTAGATGAATTATTTTTTTTTTTATTTAATAACATTTTTATTTTTATTCATTAAACTAAATATGTAGCGACAAAATTTAAGACTTGAGCCTGAGTTTACTTTCTAGTTTGATCTTTGATCACCCAGTGTATTAAATAAACATTATTCAAGTGTCAATAAAATAATAAACGTGAAATTAAAATTATAATGTGCATTAAATGTGTTATTTGTTATGGGTCATTTGAATAAGTTCTCACCTTGCAAACTGAGATTATTCCAGTCAAGAATTATTTTATGTTACGAAAAACACTGGAAAAAGCTTTTAGATAAGGACCTATCATATACACTGCATGTTTTAAAATAAAAAAAAAATAAAATTATATATCTATCTTTATCTCTCTCTATCATATAAATATATATGGCTCAATTTAAAGTTATGAAGACACTCTCCAAGTGTCTTTTAATCTAATGAAATATCTGCAAAGATCAGATTTCTAAATTATGATATCACTGCAAAAGTAAAAGTCTGGAATAAATTTTTAAAAATGATACATAGAGGAGTGTCTTAAAAGGACATTTAGTAGTTTTTAACATGAAATGATGTAATTCAATGGTCAAACAGCCAAATGAGTCGAGTGTTGACTTGTAAAGAGAAAACTGCCAGCAACATGAGAGCTCTTGGAAATACAGGTGCTGGTCATAAAATTAGAATATCATGAAAAAGTAGATTGATTTCAGTAATTCCATTTAAAAAGTGAAACTTGTATATTATATTCATACATTACATACAAACTCATATATTTCAGATGTTTATTTTGTTTAATTTTGATGATTACAAATGACAACAAATGAAAATCTCAAATTCATCATATCAGAAAATTAGAATATTACTGAAGACCAATAAAAACAAAGGATTTATAGAAATGTTGGCCAACTGAAAAGTATGAACATGAAAAGTATGAGCATGTACAGCACTCAGTATTTAGTTGGGCCTCCTTTGGCCTGTATTACTGCAGCAATGCGGCGTGGCATGGAGTCGATCAGTCTGTGGCACTGCTCAGGTGTTACGATAGCCCAGGTTGCTCTAATAGTGGCTTTTAGCTCTTCTGAATTGTTGGGTCTGGTGTATTGCATCTTCTTCTTCACAATACCCCATAGATTTTCTATGGGGTTAAGGTCAGGAGAGTTTGCTGGCCAATTAAGAACAGGGATACCATGGTCCTTCAACCAGGTACTGGTAGCTTTGGCACTGTGTGCAGGTGCCAAGTCCTGTTGGAAAATGAAATCTGCATCTCCAAAAAGTTGGTCAGCTGCAGGAAGCATGAAGTGCTCTAAAACTTCCTGGTATTGGCTGCGTTGACCCTGGACCTCAGAAAACACAATGGACCAACACCAGCAGATGACATGGCACCCCAAACCATCACTGACTGTGGAAACTTTACACTGGACTTCAAGCAACGTGGATGAAGTGCCTCTCTTCTTTTCCTCCAGACTCTGGGACCTTGATTTCCAAAGGAAATGCAAAATTTACTTTCATCAGAGAACATGACTTTGGACCACTCACCAGCAGTCCAGTCCTGTTTCTCTTTAGCCCAGGCAAGACGCTCCTGACGCTGTCTGTGGTTCAAGAGTGGCTTGACACAAGGAATGCGACAGCAGAAACCCATGTCTTTCATACGTCTGTGTGTGGTGGTTCTTGAAGCACTCACTCCAGCTGCAGTCCACTCTTTGTGAATCTCCCCCACATTTTTGAATGGGTTTTGTTTCACAATCCTCTCCAGGGTGCGGTTATCTCTCTTGCTTGTACACTTTTTTCGACCACATCTTTTCCTTCCCTTCGCCTCTCTATTAATGTGCTTGGACACTGAGCTCTGTGAACAGCCAGCCTCTTTAGCGATGACCTTTTGTGTCTTGCCCTCCTTGTGCAAGGTGTCGATGGTCGTCTTTTGGACAACTGTCAAGTCAGCAGTCTTCCCCATGATTGTGTAGCCTATAGAACTAGACTGAAAGACCATTTAAAGGCTTTTGCAGGTGGTTTGAGTTAATTAGCTGATTAGAGTGTGGCACCAGGGGCCATCAATTTTGAACCTTTTCACAATATTCTAATTTTCTGATATGATGAATTTGAGATTTTCATTTGTTGTCATTTGTAATCATCAAAATTAAACAAAATAAACATCTGAAATATATGAGTTGTTATGTAATGTATGAATATAATATACAAGTTTCACTTTTTAAATGGAATTACTGAAATCAATCTACTTTTTCATGATATTCTAATTTTATGACCAGCACCTGTATTAGCTGCTTTAGAAACACAAAAAAATAATACAGGGTTATTAAATTTCCAATGGATACATCAAGAACAAAGCCATGGAATCCATTGGGCAATATTCTGTGACTCAAAATACCCTTTGAATGATGTGTTGCTTACTTGTCATCTATCCAAAGCTCTGTGTTAATTTTCCCTCTCACTGTTACTTTCAAATGTAATGCTTCTCTCTTGTGTTTAAAAGTCCTCCAAATCTGATACTACAAGTTTAACCCTTTAGAATGAGCTTTTTAAAAGCAATACCACTTCAGTTCTGTATGAATCGCAATGTAAAGAAAGAGAAGACAGTCTAAAGAGCCAACATAAAAGGAAAAAAGGTGTCTCTCATGGATCCCTTGTTTGACATTGAAGCACTACATTTTTTCCTTCCCATCCCCCATAACTGGTGCAAGTTGGGTGTATGTATGCTTAATGAGAATTCAGAAGGAGATCTTCCTGCAAGTGCACACACATTCATCATGTAGGGTCAAAGGTTGAACAAGAAAATGATGAGTCGATTATTCTAAGTGAGGGAGGCTTTGGTATGTGATTGATGAAATCATGATTGATGACTTTCCATCGTCTAATGTTGCATCCCAGCTCATGTCTTTTAATGTATCCTTTTGATACAGCATAACATTTTAATTAACTTTAAAGTGCAATTTATTAAATTTTATTTTATGAAAAATATAAATCTTTCTATTTGATCCTCAAAGGGTTCTTAGCCTGCATAGTTTCCCCCTCAACTTCATTAGTGCATTGCTGCGGTTTAGTTTTAAGCAAATGTTTAAGTATTGGGTTATAAGAAAACTTTAAAACTTATCAATGTTCTAAAGATAAATGGTTTATTCGGTATGCCTTATTAAAACACAACATATGGTACAAAGTCAGACTTTCTTAAAATGTGTTGGAATGCAGCAATCACAGGTTTTGATCTTGCACCGTTTGCTCAACCTGCTGGATGTTTTGTCTGTGGCGGCTGTTGTGTCTGCAGTTGTTTTCAGTACAGTGGCAGATAGCAAAGAGAGGGGGTTTCAGCTGGGTATAGAGGGCTTCTGTGTTCACATATCAGTATTCCGAATGCAGACTCAGCGAAACCGCCATTTCTCCTGTGGGACCGTCTGCTTGCCAGTTGCCTAGGATGGCGAACAGGCTTCTTACCATTTAGACCCGTCCCTTTCTCCCAACCCCCCCATCAATGTAAGGAATCGTTTTATCTTTGTTCAAACACAAATCCCTCTTGCTTTCCTCCATGGACATAGGGTTTGACTTTATGGCCACTGATGCTTTGAAAGGATTAGATAAAAAGGGTGAGAGATATATAAATACGTAGACATGTACAAAAGGTACATTTAAATCAGACATCAAAATATTAATCTCCCAGATTTTGCAGAGTATTAGTAATTTCATCTCGAAAGATACTAAGCATCTTCTCCACAAAAGCGGGTAGCCTTGTATGCATCAAGAGTGCATTTGCTCTGCTCAATGGCCTTGCCCTTGAGAAGGCTGTCAGGGATGAAAAGAAACAGCAATGTTGTGCATCTGTGTCAGATAATCTATTGAGTGACCATTAAACATGAGGAAACAAGGACAATTATGAGAGGACAGAAATAGAGGCTGGGGACTAAGTTTTCAAGAGCCAGAAGCATTAAATCATTGAATTACATACTATCCTCCTACCACCATTTCTATGCTAAATCAATAGTAAGAAATCTTTGGCAAACAACATCTGTCCTTTAAGGATATTCCACCTTTATGCACCTTTAAAAAACAGGTCTTGTTTTTATTGTAGTGCTTAAAATTCATTTTAAAAATCTTACTATATTTTGTTTCTACAGTCTACCAAAAAAAAAAAAAATAATAATTCAGACCTTTATAAATAATTAACTTTTTCAATCTTTCTAATACAAAAAAAATCCAAACATCCTAAATACAGTCGGACTGTTAAGAATCTCCCAAAGAATAAAATAAATCAGTATGGTGAATGGGTAAATGGGGAATTGAATTTGTCATAAAAATATATATATTTTTGTTATATATCTGTATGTATATATATATATAAATTGACAGAGTTTGTTTTATAAAACATCTAAAAAAATATGGTAACGAGAACAACAACAATTAAATCTCGGTTACACTTAAAAGACAAAAATCATTCGTTAAATTAAACTATACAAATAATATATATAAAATATCTCAGAGCTAAACTTAAAAGGATGTTGTCACTTTAACAACAGCAAATTTGATTAATCACATAAACCCCTTGACAAAACAATTAAGGATTTGGGGATTTCATGACATTTATATATATATATATATATATATATATATATATATATATATATATATATATATATATATATATATATATATATATATATATATATATATATATATATATATAAATCTAAAATAGTTGTGCTATCTATTGAACCTATTTTTAGTGGGATATTGCCTAAAGAACTGATCCCAGCAGATATGGTCTTTTGACCCCCTACAGAAATTAAAATAAGAAATAACACAAAAGAAACACACACAAGAGTAAAGCAGAGGAATTACGAAAAGCTAAACTTTTTACTTCTTTTTACTGCTACCCATCATCAACTACCTTATTAAGCTGCTGCATCACCTTCAGTTTTAGCTCAGATTATTACTAAGAAACCCATAGGAGCTTTCTTTCATAGAACTTATCCAGGTTTACAATGATAATGATGAAATTGCGAGAAACATTATCTTCCTGTTGAAGCTGTAAAACATTACATGAAACATGCCTTCCCAAAAATAGTCTCAGAATTCAGTGCGTTCTACCAGTTACACTAGTAGAAATTGCTGCTAGTTATGACTATTATGATAAAAAAAA